CTGCCCCGTTATCCATGAGTGGCGTCACTAATGGTGGTGTAACTCTGTCGGTCCCAGGTAGCTTCGTGCTGGTCGAGATCCGGGCCTTGACTCTCTGTCTTGACGTCTTTTCATTATCTATTTCAGGATCCGCTAACGCGTTGCCTAGCCCTCTGGTTCTACTCTCTCCAGTTTGTGGCTCTGAACTTGTCCTAATCGCGAAGTCTTTTGACTGGCCTGGTGTGTTTGCCTCTTTGCTTATCGTTGTCACTACACCAAATTTGTCCATGGTTCCCGTCTCTCTTCCGACGTATGCTTCGTTCTCCTGGATCGAACTGTTGAGGCTGACCTGAGATTCAAAGTCCCCTTGCTCCTCTTCATCCTCTTCCTCCTGGGACTCACCATCGTTTCCTGCTCCTCCTCCCATGCTGAATGGAAAGATGTTTCCGAAGGTGTTCTTCATTCTTTCTGAGAACGATGATGAGGTTGTTTGTTTTCCAGTTCCGCTTGCCATCATAGTGTTGTCTGTCGGAGATCTTCTAGTTACCGTTACTTCAGTTGAGATGTCGGACAGTTCCGACATCTCCTCTCGATCCAACGTCCCGGTGGAAGTGGCAAAATCATGGCCTTGTTCTACCGGAGTAGATTCACTCGCCAGCCTTCTGCCTCTCCCTTCCAGTCCATTTACTCCCTGGTTGACGTTCATGGTATGGTCCGTATTGACCTCCACTTCTAACAGTTCTCTTCGCTCTTCTGAGGTCTTTTGACTTCTCGTTTCAACCCTTCTGCCTGAAACCGTCCCCTCTTTATCGGACCGGGTTCGCTTGATCCAATCCACAAAAGGATCGGTCATCGTTTTTCTTTGCTTTTCAGGTATGAATTTCCTAGAGCTATTACCTCGTTTTGGTATCCTTGACTTGTCTAAACTCATTCTTTATTTGTCACTTTCCTATGCCTACTCTTGACTCAATTGCTAGAGACCTTATAGTTTTATTAACAATAATAATGACACAACACAATAAATTTCACCAGATTCTATTAAATAGTGACCACGAATCCCTGTATGTTGTCGGAGTACAGTTTGTATAAAATTTATTCACACTAGCCGATTATCGGTCCAAAGATCTGGAAACTAGCACAATATGATGTTATCAGTCAATTTAAAAGATAGTGTAGTCACTACCCAATCAAGCACAGTTTAGGTTGATTTAAAATCAAAAACAAAAAATATATATTGACACAATATGAATGTATATATAAAAAACGTATGTGTCTTGTACTCTTAGTCGGTCGCAGTACAATAGTCGAACCTGTCTTTTAAAGAAAAAGCTTTCCCTGCTTGGTGCTGCACCAAACAGACAAAACTTTGAAGGCAGTAATTTTCTCAAGTGGGCGTCTATTGCACCCACCGAGTACTGTGTTACCTATCTGCCTTCGGACTGCCCGAGCTAGACCTACTAAAATCCTCAGGGCAGTCACTTTTCCCAAAAACGTATTATGTTTCAATCCACACCAATGAGTCACGCTCTTTTTAATTTAGACTTAGTGTCGCGAATATCCGAGTTCGGACCTGTTTTGTATTAGTCTGGTTCTTTTTGAGAGGCAAGTTACCAGTGCAGTCACTGATACCTAGCCTGTGTATTAATAACCTAATACCTCTCGCTTTTTAGTTTTTCTTTCGTTCACCTAAGTCCTTAATAAAATGATACCCCTCCGGATTGGCACAAATAGGACCCTTCCGGACTGTCAGAATATAGACCCCTCCGGATTGGGACCCCTCGGAATTAGCAACTATAAGACCCCTCCGGATTCGGACCCCTCCGGTTTTGTGGAAAGTAGACCCCTCCGGATTCGGACCCCTCTGACTTTGAAAAATTTCGACCCCTCCGGATTGGGAGCCCTTAGCTCTGTCAAAGTAGCTTTTTGTAGTTTTCTTAATTTCAGCTTATACCCCTCCGGATACGTTCTGCGTTGCTTTTATGCTGTTTGAATTAACTGGGAAGGGTATAGGGTCCTTTCCTAGACCCCTCCGGATTGAAGTTAAGGCACTTATTTGACAATTCACACTAACGGTGAAGGGTCTTATCACTTGCCTAATTTCGACTCTATTATGGTTGTCTTGTGCCTTCAGCCCTCCCTTTTTGTCTAGAACTGTCTTAAGTTACTTAGATCAATCGCTATCAACTTTTGGTAGAGGTATAAGGGTTTTTCAGAAAAATTTATAAAACGTGAAGGGTGTACCCCTCCGGATTTGTGTAATTTGCTAAAAACAATCTCAAAAAATTTTCTCGCTCGCTTTTTTGAGTAATTCTCTTTCCTACTAGTAAGTTCAGCTAATTTCTGATCTAATGGTACCAAGATCAACTCGATATGCTCAGTAGTTCCAAAGTTATTAACCAAAACGTCTTTTTTCCAAACTCAAAAAAATTTTTCTCTTATAGGTTCCGCCTAACTTTTTCCGCAAATCTGGTCCTTTCGACCTAAAAATTATTGATCTGAGCTCACAAGGCCTATACTCTTCTAGTTCAACGCAAAAGACCCGATCTAAAACGCTTTTGTAGAAAAAATTTGCGAAAAACTATGCTACCTGGACCCCTCCGGATTGATGAATCCACCAAATCAAACACGTTATGTTCGATTTCTCTGCAACCCGGAAGGCTTTCGGGTAGCGGGTTTTAAAACTCGTAGATTCACTAGTGGACGTTGTCCGAACAACTATTTTTACTGTCCTAACTCAAAGATTTCAAAAAATTTTCTGATTTTATAGTGCTTCTTACTATCAAAAAATGGGAAAATTTGGTTTTTGGTACCAAACTAGTTCCAACCACTTCCGAACTAAAGTTAACCGGTTCTACTTATTACAGTAGTGCACTTACGATGTAACACACTAACTTAGCGCTTTTTTCCGTTTCAAAAAATATCGATATCTCAAAAATCGCGACTTGTGGGGGGATCAAAATATCGCTATTTTGACCCTAAAAACCGGTCTGTTTTCGTTGTTTTTCACTGAAAAACGATATAAGACTATTAATATAGTCTATATAAATAATAATATTAGTAATACTATACCCCTCCGGGTTTGTTTATTATCCGAATTAAGGTGCTTAACTCGGATATTCGCAGTTCGGTGAAGGGTCACTACAGTGCAGCACTGTCGAGCCCCCCACAGATTACTATCTTACTTTTTGTACCAAAAGGGATACAAAACTGGTTAACGATACCCAACAGTCGATTGTTGTTGTCGTTGAGCCCCTTCTTGTTGCTCCTTGTACTGCTTGCCGGATCGGTCTTCACCCAAGACCCTTCCGAATTGAGCGCAAATCAGCTGACCCCTCCGGACTGAGCGCAATTTATCATTAACGTGCTTAAATGCTCAAATAACCCTACAGTACAAGCCTCACAAACGGGCCTCAAAATTGATCGTAACGATCCTGACTGATATAAATGCCTGTAACAACAATATATCTATCAACAACAAACGGGGGGGTTGAATCACATCTTGTCTGGGGGGATGATTTCTACTGATTTTTTACTTTTTTACTGTTTTTGGTTTTTTCGGTTATTTTTTATGTTTTTTGTTTTTCTTGGGTACTATACTACTTTTTGTTTGGTTTTACTTATATCTTTAAGTGTTTTTGGTCACCAACCACTCAGGGGACGAGGGGACGGCCGATCCCCCCACCCTTCCTGGTTCGTGAATTTTCGGTCTTAACTAGGTTAAAAAACTATTCACGGCAGTTCGGAAGGCCTCCGCGTTCCGAACTACCCTTCCGCCCCGGCGGTTTAGGCCTATTAAGGGCGTTAATGTGAGCGTCCGCTCGGCGCGGAGTGCTCGTTAACGGTTCTGCCGGTCATGATGTTAAAAAAGAATAACACCCAGGAGCGCCATAAAAACATACATGTAACATTCGCCCGGAAGATACATATCGACGGATAACAAAACTAAGTCTTAAGACGACTGGCCAGCGTCTAAACAGAGCTTTGCATGTTTTTCACCGTCTCTACCAAGCCAGTACTTTTCGGTGGTCTTTCTTACATCGGGTCGACAAAAACGTTACTGTTCTCCGGCTTCGACCAGAACGCTCAAATTAACTGAATTACATGCAAAAATAGTGAGCTCATGGCTGGGTCTCAGTATCCCCAGACCACGAGGTCACTCCTAAAAACAGGGCTACTACTTATTATATTACTATTGTTTTTGTTCAGTAGATAAAAACCATCATCTCCATCGAAGATGGATCAACCCTTTCCCCCAACTCCTAGCTTCTCATCCTTATCAAAATGAATCCAGTTGTTAATTAAATTCAATTCAGGACATGACAAGAAGCTAAAAGTTTATATAAAAGGCTAAAAGTTCCAGTCCCGAAACCCTTCCGGATTCTTGAATCCAGTGAATCAAGCTCCTTAAGTTCAATTTCACGCCAATCCGGAAGGCTGGTTCTCACCCTTCACCGTTGTTGGCAACGGCCTTGCAACTATTGTAGCAGCACAATAGTTGCAACTTGGAACGTTCTCTGCTATTGTAGTTCGTTGTCGTTTTTCTTCAATCTCGATTTTCGTTCTGTTCGCAATCGCAGATAAAAGTTGTTCTGTTTTTCACTCGCTTTTTGTTAAAATGGCCGTTTCAGCATTTCTCAGAAATGTGACGTCATCATTCGAATTTTTGAAAATTTAAAATACTAGAATATTCTAGCCCTCACCGTTTGGCTAAACGTTCCAATAACGTCGCTAATCCTTCGAAATCATCAACTCGGAAGGCTTACTGCTCAAAATTCGAATCCTGCATAAATTGCATTTTGGCCATTCTGGTCGAATGTCACAACATGGACTGTAAAAGGGGTGAAATTCCCTAGAGCTAATGCTCTGAAGCCTATTCTACTACTTCTACTACAGTTTTTCTATTTCTGGTAAGTTTGTTGTTCACTCCAAGTTAGAGGACTTCGGAGTATGCGACGTAGGGATTATTTCATACCTTTGTAATCTCAACCTGATAGTGATTCATCCACAGAGCCTAAAGCTTTCAGTTACTAATATGAACATTATGTCATCGCCTGCCCTTGGTTCAAGTATTCTGAACTGTGTGCTCTTGGATCAGAAACACATCTATGAAGCTTATAAGCAGGTTTTGTCATCAAAAACACAAAGTGAGTATATGCCTATTTACCCGTAGAACTTAGAACTCGACAGCGTTTAAATTTCCATAGTTTGAATTGAAAAGCCTTAGTTAAACTGCGGGGAACAATTAAGTGATTTTACAGATTCGATCTCTCTGTGGATGTGGGCTTCCAGCGAGGCCAATGCAGCTCTCCGTGACATAGTGATGCGATTTGCTGAATTAGAAATTCTGGTTGTGAAACTTCTTCAAGGTTATATGAAAAAGGTAATAATCGCCTCGAAATACAACGAACAAGCAATGCTCGATTAGTTCCATTTTTCTTAGGATAAAAGTGTTTAAATCAACGGATTAAAGTGGTTGAATAAACTTTTAAGGTTATTAATTAATCTCAATCAATAATTTTTATAGCAGTTTTTCTTTACACAAGCACAAACGCGTTTGTTTTATTCACGTTTGCTTTTTCCAATGTCTCGCAAAAATTTATGAAATTTTTCTGATCACATTCAGTATTTGCCGGCTATTCAAATTTTATTTTACTGCATGTGTTTTATGTTTTATCCCTTATATCACAGCCATTGCTAAGTAATTTTTACTTTAACAGTGTGCGGAAGCAATTAACGGGTGTTCCAGTAGTCCGTTCGAGATTGGTAATTCGCTAATTTTTCCAGTTTTGGTTATTTTTTTTCTGAAATATTTCGGAACCTTATGCAGTGGTTTTGACGAACTACTACTTTCTTTCTCATCAATGTGAAAAACAAGATAATGAAAATTGTAGTTTCACGTGTAGTTAATGTGTAGTTTGACGAAATAGATGCTCCTTCAAAATTTCAAAAACTTTCGATCGTTTCATTGTTTGAAAATCCTTGAATCTCGTTTTTCTAAACTTACAAGAGCAAGTGTCTAGGAATCGGGATCCAGACTTCTGACAGTGAAGGCAAACTCCACTATCGAATGTAAAAATCACGAAAACGTCATCGACTTCTTATATTGAAAATGGAATTAAATTATCATATTTCCCAGCGGAATAAAAACTTCCCCAATGATCCATTTTTCTCAAATTCGGTTAGCTTAATCAAAAAAATACTAATAAGAAATTGTTCTAGAAATTCAAAAAGGTTTAAGGCCATCTATCTTGTTCTTCGAATTTTGAAGGTTGAGATTTTTCAGAATACTAGTCAGTTTTTTTGCGTTCTTTGTCTTTTCCAACGGTCAGTTGGCTATGTTCATTATAGTTGCAAGTGGTGTTCATTGTGTTTTTAGGGGAATTGAAATTTTTTATAAACATTTGTTTTTTGCTTCAACTGGTGTCGGCTTTGTTTCCGCTTCGTCAGTTTTGTTCCGTTGCTAATTTTAAACTTAAATGACTTGCTTGGCATGTTTTCCTATATTTCTTGTTTGGATGTCTGGACTCATCTCTAGAGGTACCTTCTGAGCGTTCCTGGCCCTCTTCAAATTCTTAGCGTTCCCAGCCCACTTAGCCTGGAGGTATCAAATTCGCCTTGGGGTTTGAATCTCAGCGGGACCTGTTTTTTTTTAAAATGGCAAATATTCCATTTAACAAAAATTGTCGGCCGTCTGCTTATGTTTTGTCGGTCTAGTTGCCACATAATAGAATTGGGTTTTCTTGTTATGCGCAATTTTTCTCTAAGTGTTTTGATTTACTTCTGCTGTTTGTAATTTCTTGACTTGAATGTTTTCTTTTTTTTTCGTTGTTTTTTTTCTGTCCAAATGTTTTATATTTTTATCTAAATGACTTATTTATGACTTATATTTTATCGGCTCACATCTGAATTGCACTTTTTGCTAAAATCTTAATAAAAATTATAGTTGAAGTTTTTCAAGACGACAGTTTTTTTCGGCATTTTTTTTCTCTTCGCCTAAATTGGATTCGGCTATATTATATTGGCTTAATGGCCTAATATTGCGTCTTTCGATCAGCGGAAAAAAGTGTCCGTGTCTGTGTGTTTTGAGGCTGAGGGGGAATTAATCATTTTTCATTAGTTGCGGACTTTATTTTATTGGCTTAGTGGCCTCATATTGGTTCATTTGACGAGAAATGAAAGTTTCGTGTATGTGTGTGTGCGTGTAAGTTGAAGACGAAGCGTTGAGGGCGAAGAATAGCGGTAGGTTGCTATCGAGCTGCTATGTTATTACTTAGCATACTGGCTATCAGTGTTTATTTTTGTTATGTTTCCACGGATTAGGCATGTCTTGCAGTTAGGGACGCCTGAGTCATGCTTAAGTCAGACCTATTCCTCTAGATTCTAGCTCGTCGTTCAGAGAAAGTTAGAGTATGATTGGAATATTTTATTTCTCTCTACTTTGATCAGTTAACGAGAACAGGAGTTCGTCGAACAGGTCTTCTTTCTCCCTGGTCTGTCTCAGCTGATCAATGATTGTTGCTCTGCTATTCACATCTGAACCTTGCTGTGTGAAACAGGTTGTAATGATCCGTTCAGTTCAGCACGTGTTTGTGGTCAAGGCCTGCTCTCAAGCGTTGTAATCTTCATTTGCCGTCGACTTGTTTTGAATCCAGAAATCGATTCTTCGACGCTGTCACCCTGTCTTAAACAGTCTTTCCTGTTTTTTATTTTTTCTAGTGGTAGGTTGTTATCGAGCTGCTAGTTATTAATTAGCATTGCCGGCTATCAGTGTTTATTATTGTTTTGATATGTTTCGAAACAATTAGATTCTATCTCATCGTTCATAGCAAGTCAGGGCATGATTGGAATGTTTTTTTTCTCTATTTTGACCAGTTGTTTTATAAATATATATAAATAATTTAATGGATGGTAGAGTTAATTATCAATGTTTACATAGTTCACTAAATATAAATCTGAGCTCCAGTTGAATGTTTCATTACTCAATCGTTTTTTTTTATCAAAATGGCGAATATCAAAAGCATGTCGTCATGCAGGGACGTCACATTACTGCTCGGTAATTTTTTTTTCGATGCTAAGTTCACATTCAATTGCATTGTACAAATGTATCGCGAGTGGTGCGAAGCTCAGTTTCGTCTCTGTGTCGATTTTTGTGTTTTATCGCCAGCGATGCGAAGCTCTGCTTCGCCTCTGTTTTAAATGTTATTTTCCTTTGTTAGTTCCGTTTCATTTTCTATTTGCCTCTGTTGTGAACGCTGGCAATTGTTTTTCCTGACCTGTTTTCCTTTTTCTCATTTTCTATCGGCGAACTTACCATATTATGTCAAAGCTATCAAAAGTAGTGCGAATATCTGCTTAAGCTCTACATTATCGTATTGATTTTCGACAGAAAATTAACAACAACTTTTTGGTTTAAGACTTAAGTTTGTGTCCTAAGTGGTGCCAATGTAGTATTGTTCCTATCATTGAAAATGAAGGAAGCTTTTGTAGTCAGTTGTTATTTAGTTACTATTCCGAACCTTGAAAATGCGGAGGAGCTTTTCATTTGGGTGTTTTTCGTTTTTTTTTGTTTTCCACGCAAAATCAGTTACCACAAACAATCATTTGAATGGGTCGAGGAATATACCAAATATATACATTTCAGCCGTGATTCAAACGACATTACAAAATTTTCAAAAAGTGGTCAAATTTCAAGAAAAGCTGGTTCAAATTACTTGATTTTTAGTTCAATTTTGAGCGAGCAAAACGATCGAGTAACGATTGTTATATGAAGGCTTACGTTTATTACAACTTTTAAGCGAAAAAAGTTTCATTTTAATAGGCACTTAATTTAGTGCTTCCTTTGACAAACAAAAATTATTTATTCTTTTTTTGAAGACGAACTTTGTCGATTATGTCTTAATTCGTTTGGATGTCTAATTTAGTGCTTCCTTGGCATTCTATTTGGAACAAATTTTTAAAAACAAAAAATGTAAAACTTTTTTTAATTCTTTTTTTTTTGGAAGACTAATGTTCATAATGTCTAATTCAATAAATTCCCATGCGTTTGTATAGCTCTCAAATCGCACCACGCAGTAAAACCGACTCTTATTTGAGAAAAATAAACAAAAAAAAATTTTTTTTGTTTTTTATAATGAATACGGTCGGAAAGTTTGAACGAAATTATGAATTTTTCTAACAGCTAATCTAGTATCGTGAAAAACAGGTTTAAAATGTGTGAATTTAAGTCTAATTTTGAGCAAGTAAAGCGAGTGAGCATGCTTAGAATAGCTTATTTATGCTCGATGTAAGCCATGAAACATTTATTTTCACTCGAGTAAAGTCAGTTTTTGGGAGTTTTTTAGCGCTATTTTTATATTTTTTCTCCTGTGTTTGTTCTACAAAAACTGTTGTCTAATTTGTTTCTTTTACTATGGCTGTCGAATATATCTAATTTTTTAAAAGTCTTTATCACACCCCGTATCCTTTGACAAGGCTAGATGGTTGAGGGGTAGTAGGGTACGGCATTTGGGATTGTTATTCCTTGTCTTCTGCAGAAGGCAATCTCAAAAAAGTGCAATAAAAATCAACAGATAACTTGAAATAACAAGGATAGCCGGTTACTCTGCAAGTACCCCAGAATGTTCGGACCATAGTTTTTAAAAGCTGCGATTCTTAAATCTCGGGTGGGATGTACTCCGTACCTCTTTTGCTCAGTACCTGTTTCTACGGGGGGAGGGCAAGGGGCTACCTTAGTTATGGCTAGCGTTTGTGTAAATTTTGTTGTAATCTTCAATTCGAGTCAACTTGTTTTCACGCTATTGTTAAGTCGGTGATTTACAAACAATGATTACACTAAAATGCGGGATCGTGATATTTTCACCTAAATGCGGAAGGGTTCGTTTATCTGTTAGTTCAGTCATCCTTTTATCACACCACGCAGAAAAAACGACCTTAATTTGAAAAAAAAACCTTTTTTTGCAGTTGTTTAAGACTATGGTCGGAACATTCTGGGGTACTTGCAGAGAAACCGGCTATCCTTGTTATTACAAGTTCTGTTGATTTTTTATTGCACTTTTTTGAGACTGACTACGTTTAGTTCGTGGAGCACAGACGTGTTCTGAAGCAGGTGGTGGAGGAGGAGCACAATGTGACAGAGGTGCGGAATCAACACCTCGACTACTCCAAGAAAGCTGCCAAACTATCCGCCAAAGTTAGTTACCACTGCACTTAATTCTCTCAAAGTCTTGGCGATTTTTAAATCCAACCGTTAGATAAAATGATAATCTTGTGATAATTCCCTGGCCAGTACTAAACAAACAGTCTCGTGTTGGAATGTTCAAAACAATTTTTTTTGTGAAAAATAAATATAATAATTTCATTGTTTATTTCATTAGGTTGACCAGCATGCCAAGAAGCGCGACAGTACGAAGCTGAAAAATTTAAAGAATGAGCTTCAAATTGTGAGTACCAGTTCAATTAGCATTCAACTTTCGCTTTGTTTATGAAAATGGGATCTGTGACCATCAAGGCCCTTTGTTACTCGTGGGGGACATGGAATAGTTAGGGGGCATGATGTTCATAAGCTGCGAGTCATCCACTGTTCTTCGTTCATTGATGCTGTAGTTTACCCCAATCTTATTCTCATTCAATGTCAGTTCCTGCGATGATGTCAATCGTCTCTGCATCATCATAGTCCCTCCCTCTGAATCGCGTCCAAGTGTCAGTCCCGAGCATCCGTTGTCTCTCAGATAAAAATTATCGTGAGGCGGTGGAGAGGGGACGGGTATTGGAATGTAGTTCCGCTGTTGGGGTATATCTCGTGTGGGTTTCAAGGTCATTGCCTTCGGGGGTAAAGCTGGTGGACTATCTCCTCTGTCTAAGTTATGCAACGCAAAACAATCTGTGCATTTTTCAGACCTATTACGATCATTTGAATTGTTCGGAGTCGGCTTCATGGCCTCATCTCCCGACCCGACGATGACTTTTGACTTCTGGATGTAGAAGTCAAAGAGGTTCTGCGTTAGATCGGAAATGAAAAGGCTGCTGGTGTTCCGTGAGAGCATCTTGATAATGAAGATGCCGTCAGATTTGAGGTACCCTCTCAAGAACCGCTTCATGAGTTTCTTCTCAGATGTGGACTGGAGTCGGCCCGAGAACTTCAGGTGTTTCCGAATGTAGTCGTGTCTGAACAATGGAACCAAGCAAGTTCAAGAAACCAAGATATTGTTGCTCTTGTAGATATTTCAAACCACAATCTTGTTCGACACAGAAGGTTCTTACACTTGTTTCGGCGTGAAGATATTTACATTCAAAGTTTTTTTTTGTTAAAAATTATCTGTGATAAATCTATAGTTGCCAGTAGCAGTCTAGTCTCAATAGATATCAAATTCGACTTCAAACAGTATTGATGTGGGCCTAATGTGAATTAAATTACCCCCCGACGGTGGTGCAGTTGGCGAACCAGCGGATGAGACTGAGGGAGGAGACTGCGAAGAGGAGGAGGAGCCAGAACCAGAGGAAGAGGAAGACGTACTCATTGAAGATGTTGATGGGCAGCACACAGTGCATGTGGTAGTCATGCACCTCCTCTATCGCACGCCCCTTCACTGTGCACCAGGTCACACGGGGAAACATGTAGATCACATCCCCAAAACGATACCTGAGGAGATGCGAAACAAACAAAACCAATGAGGGCTAAAAACAGCAACAACATACACACTAAGAGGACGAAAAACAATCGCAACAATGGAGGAAGGGCAAAAAATTTATGACATGTCTTCTAGAAAGTCTTACAAAATAAGTAAAATTGCTTCCAAAAAGAACTGTAATAGTCAAAGCTGGCAACAAAACTGATCTCTGTTGAGCCGATATGTATGTTGCATACAGTTCAATTCAGAAGAACTTGTTAAACAGAAAAAAAAGTGCACACTGCTGCTGTAAGTGAAGAATGGCAGACGTGGAAAAGAGTGTTGACTGACTCACCCTTTGTAAAGGACATCGATGATGACAGTGAAGCCATAAAACAAGTACTGTTGTCCGATCCAACAAGTAAGACAGTAATACTGCAGCAGAATATTGAGGAGAAAGAGACACTTAACCATAGGGTACACTATGGTCAGGTAGTTGCCATTGTGTCGGCTGACATCCACCACACATTTGCCAGTCAGAATGGCCCTTACTCTTCCGCAGAAGGAGGGCGCTGGTTGCTTCTGCAGTTCCAGGTATCTGTCCACGTGTCTGGTGATTTTCACAACCACACTCTCCCATTGCTCTGAGTCCACCATCGTCTCGAATGAATTGGCCATCGTTGCGATTTCTTCGAAATTGAAACCAGCGCTGAAATAAGTAAAAACTGTTTTATCAACCGTTAATTTACACTTACGAGTCGCAATTTTAAATGTATCTGAGTAAGAGCTCAAATTTGACTTAAAAAGCAAAAGTTCATTAGACCTGAGGTACTGGTGACCCAAATGGTAATCTTACTTGTCGTAAACTGCTTTCCAGAGAAGATGAGGCATTGTGAACAGGAGTGACATAGTGAATAGAATGAGTGGGGTCCACTGGTAGTAAATGACTCTCTCTCCTCCCGAGTAGGGCGAGTGGGTCCTCAGATTCTGGCTCCTGTCATTGACTCCGTGGTACATGGTGTCTGAGATCCAGCAGAAATTGTCTGCATATGTTACCCACTGGCCCGTAAATTGTTGAGGTGACCAACATATTATGGCTTCTCCCACGAACTGACGAGTTGTAACTGAAAGTGCATTGAATCCTCGCATTTGAAAAAAAACTATTTCGCCATGATTTTTCCATGGGAAAACCTAAAAAAAAATTTCGAAACATTTGATTTTTTTTTCATGATTTTCAACATTTTTCGAACAATTCTGAATGTGGTGGAAGTGGGGCGTCGCCCTCATGCTTTTTGAGACATTTGCAATAAGTAAATTCAAGTTAAACATGAATTTGACTTTTATTATACATAGTAAGAGTCTATGAATATAGTTCAGACTCTTATATAGGTTGCGATGAATTAATTTTTCATTGTTTGACTTTTGATTTCAGCTTAATTCCTATGTTAAAAGGAAGGCAAACTCCACTATCAAACAGCAAAATTAAAGGTCACTAAAACGTGATCAGCTTCTAGTTTCGAAAATGGACATTAATTATCAGATTTTCCAGCGAAATAGAAGTTTTACTTACTGATCCAATTTTACTTATTCTCAACTTGGGTTAATTTTATCACAAAAGTGCCAATCATACATTGTTCTAGAACTTAAAAAAGCTAGAACGACTCTTTTTCCTTCCCCTCCCCCCGCCTGCAATTTTTTTACTAGTAAAGTTACTGTTCACATTGTCCGATCATTATGAAAATTGACATGCGAACTAATTAGGATGTGCCAAACACATTTGGTCTTCATATTTAAACTTGTAAAACCATTCGTTACACCATAAAATTGGTGGTCGTGTGAGGTGGGGGGAAAAGGAAAAAGAGCAGCTAGAACTTGTTCTAGAACTTCAAAAAGCATCTAGTGATAGTTTGTCAGACATAATTATATTTAAAACTATCAACAGGTATACAAAGGAAGAGAATAGCCAAAGTACAAATTTGCCCACTCATTGCCCACTGAGAGTTTGCCCAGAGCTTACTAAACAAACGTAATGGGTAAAGTGATCATTAACAAATTCTTTATTAATTACAAATTATTCATGTAAATAATTTCGTATGAATAAACATGGCCAACAGACAGTTGCAAAATAGAAAATGAACGTAAAAAAAATAGATGGGATCAATTGATCCCATCTATTGTTTTTACGTTCATTTTCTATTTTGCAACTGTCTGTTGGCCATGTTTATTCATACGAAATTATTTACATGAATAATTTGTAATTAATAAAGAATTTGTTAATGATCACTTTACCCATTACGTTTGTTTAGTAAGCTCTGGGCAAACTCTCAGTGGGCAATGAATTTGTACTTTGGCTATTCTCTTCCTTTGTATACCTGTTGATAGTTTTAAATATAATTATGTCTGACAAACTATCATTTGATGTTTCTGGTATTTGGTTTAATTTTTATCTGAGTTTTTAGTTGTTCATAAATCAAGTGAATTGTTCATAAACCTTGTTATTTATTAAATCTGTTTTATCTTAACCAACTAACTTTGAAGTATTGAAATACATATTTGAAATAATGGAATAGTTTTAATTTTCGTCTGAGGCCCCTTTGGCTTGAACTCCCGTCGGTTTGTTGCCCTGAAGGAATAAAAAAGCTATTAATCCTAATTTCTCAATTTAGTCAAAATTTATCCTGTGTGGTGGCTATTTTGTAAGAATCAGATGAGTGTTAACAGTCAGTCACTAATAATAAACTTGCATCAAATCTCTGCAAAAGTTTTATCCTATTAAGCAAACCAGTTTTTATGGCCGAAGTATATCGGCAGTGGGTTTGATTAGTTGTCATTAGCTTCGTTCGTCTGGTTTATTTTTATAGTGTCTTATGATTGGTTGGAGCTCATGTTGAAATAAAAACAGGTTTGCTGCTGTGCCCACGGAACACCTATTTTCAGGTTAACAACTAGTTCAAAAATGAACTTCAGTTTAAAAATTAAGCTGAATCATTGCGTCAAAAGACATATCTAGGCATTTGATATACTTTGAGCATACCTACATTTTAAAATCCAGTTCCATTCTGATAACAGAGATCTATGTTAATGTTGTTTTTAAATTTTTCATTAACCTTCGCTCAAAAAGTTTTTTCGACTCAGAAAGTTTCGGCTAGTCTTATGTTTGTTTTGTTATGACTCCTTGTTTTTTGTGTTATGACGAAGTTTTTTTAGTTTTTGGTTTGCAAATAGCGCAAAAAAAGCATAAATGAACATTTTGTTTCGATTGAGGATTTTGATTTTCGTGAGGAGCAAATTGGGATGGATTTCTCGTTTCTCAAATTGGTTTAAATTCATCTTAAAATTGAATCATAGAAGTTTCTTGAAATTCTAAAAGCTCCTAGGCCATAGTTTTTCTTTAAAATTGCTTCAAAAAGATTTGCATTTCAAAGTGCATTCAGTCGTCATAATTAATCTATCGGTGGTACATTTGCAAATGATGCCTTTTTCGTATAGTAATTTATTCAATTCAATTTTTGAACAGAAGGAAATTGGAATGAAATTTTCTGAATCAGAAAATGAATATATATTGTTAAGAGTCGATGAACGGAGTCTTGATGATTTTTCTTTGTTTTTTTTCAGGAAAAGTCATAATAATTGTTAATTTTTTGTTAATTGAAATTAATTTTTCGTGTTAATAAAATTAATTTTTCGTTAATATACTTTTGATTTCTTTTCATATTCAATTCATTTACTTAGTTGAAACGAAAGCAAACTGCTCTATCGAGCAGCAAAAATGTAAAGGTGAAAAAAAAACGTGATCGACTTCAAGTTTTGGAAGTGGAATTCAATTTTCAGATTTCCCAGCGAAATAAAAATTTTACCTATCAATCCAGTTTTTTCATAATCCACTTTTTTTCATATCAAATGGCTTTAAGGGAATCTATTTTTTTCGAAAGTTTTCAAAAAAAGTGTCTTTTTTCGGTTTTTTGCTTTCATTGACTCTTTTCCAACTGTCTGTTGGCTATGTTCTTATAGACCCTTTTGTCATTTTTTATTACCCTTCTAGATGTTCTAACAAAAACGAAGATCTTTGTCTTGTAATTACATGAAATTGTACCGCATATGCTAATATATCTTACTAATGGTTACATCATAACTAATAGTTACATCATAATTGAATCTCACCTAGTAAGCCTAAGCCAATGAGAAGAGCATTGGTGTATCTGAAGTTGAGTCTATCTGAGAAGTCACTGTCCAGACCCCTGTTGATGTTGCCCAGACTATGTATGATCTCTGTGATCATCTTTCAACATCAATTTCTAGCTATGTCTATCTTGCGTTCAAAATTTTTCAATTTGAAGTGTTTAATTAAATTCAAATTGATGTGAAAAGAAAACCAGTTTTAACGGAGAGTAAAGTTGTGTGAGAATGGTTGATAAATAAGTTGGCTGATGAGGTTCAGTAAATGAAAAGTTGGGCTTCAATGGAAGCCAGTATTGGTAAGAGTATATCCTACTGACTCTGATGGTTTCGTCTTCCAGTACATAGAAAAGTGAGTGAGCTATAAAGTGAAATGATGTGTAGTAAATTAGAAGGGAGAATAGGTGTTATTGGGTTTTTGGGTTCTTTTTTCCTCGGCTCTATGTAAAATTGGCCTCTTGACATTAATCTGCCGTGGAGAAATTTATTTGAAATTATTCATTCCGCCTTTTATTTTCGTTTTTCAAATCAGTCAAATGAGGTCTTTCAAATGCAATTCACCTCACCGAATACTTTGCACTGGTCATTGGACTTTCAATTTTTTGATGGTGGAGTGATTTCTGCTGAGTCTTATGCAAAAATTGAATGTTCAAACGTCAATTTTTTCTATCCAGTTTTACATATTTTGGTACTCATTAGCATATGTCATTGTTTATTCAGTAGAGCAAACAGTATTAGAAAATAGTATAAACCATAAACCGGTTGGTATGAAAAAGTTGGGTGATGGTAATGATTTTTCTGGTTATTATTACTATCCGATATTGGATAGTAATATCTTCAAGGCAGGGGCGGAAGTAGTGCAAAGTAAAAGTAAAGGCGCGAAACTTTTTTCCCCAAGTTCAATATTGCATTTTGGTCATTTTTAATCAGAAAATGGACATTGAAGGAATGAGATGAAAAATGAGGCGCTCTTTGATAAACAAACTGTGAAGATAAATATAGGAAGGTAGGTATTGTTTTGGCCAGATAGCAGGAACAGCAGACGTGTTTATGGATACCCTTTGGAAATAGAGTTTGAAAATCAGTTGTTGGTCTTCCACTTATTGTAGAAAGTAGCGGGGAATCTGAAGCGAAGCTTGATGAATGGTGATATTAAGTGGGTTAGCGTCAACAGCACTGTTGGTTAATTACACCAAGAGTTTACCTGTTTTCTCACAAGTGATGAAATCCCGCCGGCCGCTTTGTTCTTCAATCCTGCCAGTCTTTCTTTTCCCCATTGAGTGATTTTATGCTCCGCCATTTCTTCAGAGCTCACTTTTTGAATTTGAAATGAGGCTCGAAAGTGGTAAAAGTACGGAGAGTAAAAAGTTGGCTTAGTAAGTGTACCTTTAAAGTGGAAAAGAAGAATGGTTAGTTAAGTTAAGAGCCAACTGGCGCCCCTTTTTTAAGCAGCAGCGGAGACACTATGGTGTTATGTGGTGCTGTTGGTGGAATTGGTGGCCCGTGGCACCCACTGTTGCTTATTTATTTTGGTCTCTTAAATTACGCTTCATTAACTTTTCTTCCCATCATTCCATCTCCCTAAATCAACTCAGCATTCACCACCCGGACCCTTTCTTTTCCTACTGTTTTTGCAACACTTTACACACTCCCGTTCTTTTATTACCCTCAATTTAATCACTCAAAAAGTTAGTCTCAAATGCTGAAAAAGTCTGATTTTATTTTTTAAGTTATGCAATCATTATGTAATTGAGAACTAAATAATTGAGACACTAGTTAATGTTATCCCAATTAAATATGGTGCGACTAAGTGTTTGAAGACTAGATATTGAAAAGAGAAACGGTCTTGTGTGCTTCTGGTCCGCAATCAGTTTGCGAAAACCTGATTCAGTGAGATTAATTTGTCAAGGAGAAACATAGCTTAGTGAAGCGTATGAAGAAAGTAGCAATGTTTTAGTTGTTGAGTTTTGTTTCAGGCGAGAAGTCACGAAGAGGAAAAGAAAGAACAGTTAGATGCTGCAGTGCTGCGTCTGGAAGTGTTGAAGGTTAATTATGCAAACTAGAATATCGATCTCATTAAAAATAAACTTCAAGAATAAGTTCAAAGAGGAGCTATATCTTCTTTTTCCCCAACACTTGAGCTAGTTATAATGAGGTAACATTTGAAAGGTGTGTGTGAAGTGCTGGTTGTTTTCTGGGGCGCGGCTGCTGCTCAACGAGTGTGAAGTGGGTGAGCATTGATTGGGTGCCAATTTAGTTTCCCTCTGATTGATGCAAACTCATTTCAACAGCAACACTATCTACCTCAAAAAATATTTTAACCGTATTTTGAGCTGAAATATAGCAGCAATAATTTGATAACACAACAATTTTGTTGAAAACGCAGTCAAAAAAAAGAAACCGTTTCTGTTCTAATGTAACAGGAGTTTGAAATGATTTCGTGTAAAGTCAGCGAAGTCAAATTTAAAATGTGTTGAAAAGTCAAAAAAATAAATCGGTAGCTATTGAATTAAAGTTGAGCCAAAGTTGACCGAGGTAGCCTAGCTTGTCAATAGCTCGTTTTACAAATTGACACCTGAACTTGACATTGAACCTCACTGAATTGGGAGAAATCGTGACTTATCTTGTCAATCATTTTGCATATAATTACCCATTTTTTAATGATTTTTTGTGCTCTGAAAAATAGTAAGTGTGAACTTATTTGTCCTGGCCAAGAATTTTGTTTGTTTTTGTTTTTCCAGGCAAGCTTGGTGCGCAATAGTCTGGTGATGATAAGTGACGCTGGAGTCCGTTTGGCACAAGGAATGGAAAAGATAAGTCTGGGTCAGCACAAAGTTTCCAAAATGATTCCAGTTATTCCTGTACATCTTGCCACCCCGACTCCAAACAACCCCACCAACACCTCCTGCTATCCAGGAGCAGATGTGACAAACAACTTGGTCGAAAATCTTGCCCAGGAAATTGGAATAGTTAGATCTACTCCTCAAGAATGTAGTCATCTTTGTGAGCCACTTTTCAAACGTGCCCAGTATCAGACTCATGGCTCTTCTTCGTTCTATAATTACCCAACTTCTTCGGCTATTTCTAACAACCCACTAGCGAGGCTGAATCTCGCACCTCCTCCTTACTCACCTCCATCCCCGGGTCTTCAGCGAGACTACAGTACTGGCTCGCAACAAACATCCGGAGGGGTTCACACATGTCGACGCATGAACAGAATGAAGTACTACCAAAATAGAGAAAGTAGTTACAATTCAGACGGAGCTAGTCCCCGAATGCGCTCTGGAAAATTCACGGACGCATACGATGAAATACACAGTGACGAAGCTACGTTTGACTTGAACGATTCCGACTTCGAGCAAAATTTTGAGACGATTGATTTTGACCAGATCAGAAGAAGCAGAAGCCAGACTGACGCAGTCACAGGAGCAGCGTCTAACTCCATTGTGACGACTCCCTTCTCAAGTGAGAAGCAGTTTAGTGTATCTCCTTCAGGGGAAGCCAACGACCCTGGAACTGACCAGGAAGTCTATTCTCAACCCCTACGATGGGATCCGGCTAATCTGCTCAAGGACGCGGCTTCAACCAATAAGATCTTCGCTAGTGTGTATAACCAGATGAACGAACAAGTGGCACATTGTGAGATGCCCAATTGTTCTCAGGAGCCTTACTTGAACTTAATTAACAAGTGCAATCCGAATTGTGAAAGATGCAGTAGCGGCTCGAAGGAGGACACTACTGATCTAAGTATGTCTTGCGACAGAACCAATAGGATGTCAGCCGCAGAGTTTGATGGTTAGTTTCACGTTTTCCGGTTAATCTGGAACATTGGTCGGTAAAATGTCAAATGCTTTTCACCTTTTCAGCGAAATGAATTCAAAGTGGTAAATTTGACTGAATTTTAAAAAAATTGTTTCACATGACTGGTTTGGGAACTGGGCTTATCTTTGTCATTTCTGGTGTTATATGAAGCTTTTATATGAGCTCAAACCATTACTCTTTTAAGTTCTTTTCACTGATTTCTTTTCCTCTTACACTCGGGCTGTGCAGTCGATCACCTGGTTAAATCCATGACTTTATACTTTAATATTTTTTCACCAATTGATAGAGTATTCTCAACAACAAGCAGCTTTAAAGCGTCGAGACGGGATGAAAGTCCGCTCGGGTTCTTTGCACGCTCAAACAATGCTCACAAACCGACTAAAGAGACAGCAGCATCTGCAATCTCACAGCGGCAGTGTGGACTTGAACCTCAAAATGAGAGATTCCACCAAAAAAGAGTCAACTCATGTAGTAACTCCGGAAGCTAGAGCTTCGAAAACTGGCAGCGAGATAGAGAAGGCTTCTAATTGTAGTCTGGAACATGTGGACTTGATGTCCCATATGCTTGACACGTTCTTTTCAGTTGAAGAGAGCGAACATTTTGAAACTTCCGCGGCAGAAGGTCTGCAAACTTTGATAAATGTTGTTGTTCAATGTCTGTACTTTTAGTTCCAGTAGCTGCTTTGATGTTTAGTTGGTATTGTGCCTGAACTTTTCGTTGAATATGTTTTCGAACTTGTTTAAGCTGTCTACCATATTTGTATCTGCCATATGTTTGTTTTATACGTCCATGGGGTTGTTTTCATGGGGTAAATGTACATTTTTTTTAGAGCAAAGTGGTCTAACTCAGCTAGTTTTCGTTACCGATGTTGTTATTTGAAATTGATATTTTTAAAATAGCTTGAATATACTGAAACAGTGTTAAAACATCAGAACAGGAGCGATCAGTAACTGTTTAAACGTACATGGAGTAGAATCTGGTAGACTGCTATCGAACGGCTTTTTACTTCCTTATCCGAGTCGCTCCTTCAGACGTTTACTACTAAACACTTACTTTTGGTTTTTTAAAAACAAACATTTGATAAAATTTATGTTTCTTGATTCTAATAAACTGATTGTAACGGTAGAATTAGTTTTTTAATGATTGTGTTAATGAATTAAATGAATTTTCACTTATTTAGGTAATCTGTTTTCAGCAAATTTTTCACGCTTAATTTTAAATTTTGGTGGTTTGACGCTTGATTTTTAATTAAGTTCACTTCAGATTTCTTCGATGAACACAAAGCGAAATTGAAAGCGAAAATGAAACGCTTTCCAATAGCAAAAGTGCATATAGAACTTAAGCTTTATTTTGAAAAAAAAAAAAATCATTTTCGCTTTAGATTCGCTGTCAAAAAGGCGTCAATCACAAAAACAATGTTGAGATTGGAACAGGTTTTTTGGTCTCTTTGAGCTCATTAACAATTTTGCAACCTGTTGGCTACGTTTGAATGACTTTTAGTTTCTTAGTTTTATGTTCAGTTATCCTGGTCTTAAGTGCTCTTCAATGTCTTGCACGGTGTTTAACGTTTAACTTCAAGAGATTCAATTCAAAAAATACCGCAAGTTATAAATGAAATATCCGAGCTCATCAATCTGATGTGCTTTATTACAAGTAAGCTTTGCTAGCGTAGAATAATAAGATGAGTCCACTTTTTCCCAACCACCTTCACAAATTTAAGTGCAGCGTTCAGTGTTTTGTGAAAGGTCTGATCTAGCTATATCTACTGTAGTAAAGCGCATTCTTTGCTGTCTGATTTGGTAACTGGAATTTGAGTATACACGTAATTGCGTCTAAAAAATCCAAAAAAGTGGGAATTCAGATTTCAATTATTTGAAGAAAAAAAATGTATTTGAGATTTTTTTCTGATGTAAAATTAATGTAGTCTGATTTTCCCATATACTCAATTTCTTCGCCGCCCCGGTATACAAGTATGGGTGATCTTAATTCAATCGATTACACTATGGCCAAGTGGTTAAGTCAATTGACTCTTGTGCAGGCGGCTGAAGGTCGAATACTGAATCCCCCAGAGGGTTTTGTATTTTGCCATTGATTTTTCATGGCATATTTGTAGTGACCTGTATTTTTTCTGCTATTTTAGAGCTCATTTTTGCAGTTTTTTTGTGTGTGCGAAGTACAGACTTGCCTCTGTGGTGAATAATTTATTTAGGAATATTTGTAATTTCAGCATGAAGTTGAAATCATGGTATTGCTTGCATGTTGATGCAACCAGTTTTTGGCTCAAAAAGTGTGAGGTGATTTTTTCTAGGCAAGCAGCCAGAAAATCAGAGCAATGCTGTTGGCTCATCTGTGGAGCCCGATTGTGATGATATCCATCCCCCTTCTGGTCTGCCCCTGGATAGGTCTGCAGTTGAGACTCCACAGCATTCTGTCACTTCTGGTGAAGAGGGAATCTACAGCAACCTCAACCACACCTGGTCATCTGCTCCTTCCCTGCCTGATTCTTGCAGGAGTTGCATGTGTCGGAACTGCGTCGAGGCGGCATCCAACGAAGGTAAATAGTTTTGAGGTGACCTATGAAGAGATTTATATGCGAATATCTGACATATTTGGTAAAAGAAATGAAATTTTACGTGCAACATTTGACCGTATTCGTTTACCTTGATGACTTTGGAGCTCTATTAGGTGTTCTGGGAGCGGACGATGCTCAGATAGATGATGCAGTGTTTGACGACCAGTGTTCGAACAGCTATGTGAACTATAGCAACAGCAGACTGCGTGAATACTCCATGTTCTGGGCAGCAGCTGAATCTGACTCGGATAACAAGAGGAACCCGGCATATGAGGAGTTACAAACTCTCCATAGCGACGACGGACGTAAAAGTGGCCTGGAGGAGACATTAGATCGAGGTAAAAAAAATTTCGAGGTCTAGTCTTAAAATTTCACTGGGACTATGTCAATAGGAGTTAAGTGGATTAAAAAAATTGGACCTGAGAACAGTTTTTTTTTCAGTCTCACAGCGAAGTCGTAACAGTAACTCGGGCAGTTTGAATGACAACTTAGACGAAGCAGATGAGACATCCACTGTGCAGAGAAGGCCCGCCAAAGCAACACATGAAAGATCGCCTCTTAAGTCACCAAGCAAGGTATCTTCAAAAGCGGAGGAGAGTCAAGCAACTGCAAATTCCCAAGAAAGACAAGCTAACTCCAATGGATCCGAAGGAGGCGCAGACGGACAGGAGTTTTCGATCCAGGGGGGAACTCGCGATGAAGTTGGAATCGACAAGAAACCGAATGGAGACTCTCTCACTCCCCAAGATAAGCCACCGACGACTCCAAGTACGAATAAGAACAGTGGCGGATACTCATCGCAACAAATGAGACGGCCACCCAATAAATTTGGAATCAGGAAGGCGTTGTTCAGATTGAAGAACTCGAGGTTATCGACGAGCGAGCCAAATCTATTTAAAAAATAGGTTAGTTTTTCCTTCGAGCCTAAAACTTAGACTCAATTCTGCTGTTGGAATATAATTACCAAAGTGAGCACAGTTCGTCATTGGCAAAAACCTATTCTGCTACTGGAGTAACACTTTCCAATATCTCTTAGCTAAGCCCAATTACTCTGGAAAAAAACCTATACTGCTCCTGGAGTAAAACTTCCCAATATAGTTTGGCTGTTTTCTGCTTCCTAATGCGAAGTACAAATTCCGGTGTGTTTCTACGTTCACCCCAAAAGTTGTTTTCATAATGCTGTCGTTGAAAGAAAACCTATTTTTTTTTATCTCACTTGAAATCAAAAAGGGATATTGAAGGGAAGGAAATCTTATGTGGTCTGCCATGTGAAGTTATCTTTTTGCTCGGACGACCTATGGTGTTGAGAATTATTAGATCCGGGTCATATCCAGGCACCACACAAAAACATCAGTTGGGTTTGAGTGATAACCCGTGCGATTAGTCTTCAAACATTTTTGCCCGTAAAAATCTGCGTTCCCAACAGACATGTCTTCACCAATAGTCATAATTGTTCACAGATTAAGGAGCCGATTAACGTAGTTCAGACTCTCATATAGTAAAGATGATTTTTTCCGTTTTTTTTCAGGTTCGTTTTTTTGCGGTTTGATTTTTGCAGGCCTCTAATAGAGTGATAAGCTTCCATTTAAGCGATGAAAACTTAAAAATTTGAGAACAAATTTTGGAAACATTTTTTGATTTTTTCTAAGTTATTTTTCGTTTTTCTCGTCACTTTCCAGAAAATTGGTTTCGAATGTGCTTTATTTGCTACTATTATGCAAAACGTTTCAGTTTTTCGTTCATATTTCTCTCCGCCCACGATTTGTTACTGGTCAGAATTTTCTGTGTTACTTGCACACTAACCACCTTTCCCGGTTTAGCACGTCTGTTTCTGAAATCTAAGTCGGTCATACAAGCGACATTTTCAGCAAATACTTGCGCCTGATACTGAATTAGATATATTTGACTCATGTGTACTCTTGGGATGAGTAAGGGTATTGAAAACGGGTAGTAGACTTTCCCGTAAATTATTTTGTTCATAGGATCGCAAAACTTAACTGATTTTCCAATATGTAGTTTCGAAATTCATCAATCATTATTTAAGCATGTCTGCGTTCTAAATACCCGTCACTTTCAAAATTGTCTAATGTTGGTTGTAAATTTACCAATTCCAGTTTGTTGAAATTTCATTTGTTTCTTGTTCTTGTTTAACTTACCGGTTACAAAGGTTTCGGGTTATTTTATCAGCTCTGTGGCCTCGTATTCTGTCGTATGAGCAAATATATTGTATAAGAGTGTGTTCGTGTTTTGAGAGAGGGAACTTGAAAACTTCTTCTGACTTCCAATTTTTTCGATGAAAATGTTTGTTATTTTTTCGCCTCAAAAGGGTAGCTGCTCTAGTATTGTCGGCTTTGTGACCGCTTAGTAAATATTTTTTTGCAAAGTTTAATTGTTGTCCCTGACAGGTTTTTCTCAAACTAAAGTAATTCAAGCCAAATTATGACAAAACCTAAAATTTATGATAGATCTTGTTTTTTGTGATTTTTTTTCGACAGCGGTTTTCGTTTCATTTTATGCCCGCTAATTTGTCATGCTACGTTTGTATTGTTTTGTAAGCGTCAATTAAGTAAAGGGTATTCTGTCAATATAATGTTTCCAAAAGAAACAACCTGAGAGAAGTTGTAAAAGGCCAGAGGGAATGCTCAAAACTATCGAAAGAAGGAAACAACTTATCTGTTTCTGTCACATGACAATGTTAGCAGCTAGAGCGATTATTAATTACCTTAAGTTTTGAAGTTTGGTTACATTTTTTAGTCAATTAGTTATTTTTTTTGGCCAAAATTTAAAAGAATTGTGAAAGAAAACGAAAAATCAGTGTCTACTAATGTTTTTACGATAGTTATTTCTGTATGAGAAATGCAAATTTCTCACCGAAAGAAGTTTTTACCGTTAACAAATTTGAAGTGGAAAATGAGTTTCAAAAGAACATCTGTAATTTTTTTTCAGTTTCTCATTTCAATATAAATATTAGAATTGTTTTTTTTAGAAAGATTGTTGGCATGATAATTTTGCGTTCTGTAACATCTAATGGTTTTTCTCACATGAATTTTCTGTGTTACTTGCACACTAACCACCTTTCCCGGTTTAGCACGTCTGTTTCTGAGACCTAAGTCGGTCATACAAGCGACATTTTCAGCGAATACTTGCGCCTGATACTGAATTAGATAGTTTGAGAGTGTGACACAGGAAGTGCTAAAATGCGAAAAAATGGGATAGCGTTTCTATCACGCACTGATCAAAAAAAGTTAGAAAAAAAACTGATAATGGTGTTTCTATCTAGTATCTATCACATGGCAATATAAGAAGCAAAAACGATTATTGCTGAACCGTCTTCTAGTCCTTAATTTTGTTCTCATTTTTTTTTTTGGTTAGAAGTCAAATTGGGAGTCGGTTGGAACAAGAGTTATCTGCGGTTTTTTTGCTTGTGTCTGAGACGTGCATTTTGACTCAGAATGAAAAGTTTCTTGAAGTTTGTTTTTGTTTTTGTCTCTCGATTTCACAGTTTTACTGACTTTTTTGTTTTTTTTTACGTATTAAAAATTTTCACATTGAAAAAAAGTGAAGATTTTTGGCAATCGAGATACTTTTTGCGTGAATTAACTCATTTTGAAACGTAGACTGGCAACTTTGTTTTTACATCCGTTTCTGAACGAAATCTAAATCAGTTTAGCAAAAATGTTTTTCGGCAATTTGGATGAATCTTGAGTAGCCGCATATCTAAGTCAATAGCCGCATAACTAATTTATTTTAAAAAGGCATCTATTTTTTTTCTTTGCAATTCGAAAGAAACTGAATTGAAATTTTTTTCAACAAAGTTTTTTTGTTTACTTGCGATCATTACTCTTTTCCAACAGTTGTTGGCTTGTTTAATAAGCATTGTCTTGGTCTACTCTAAGTGCGTTGTAAAGTAAGTTTTTTATGCGCTTGTGTACTTTGGTGACTTCGCTTTTTCTGCCTCAAAGTTTCTTTTTCGGCTTTATTACCGCTGTGTAATTTATGTTTCGATGCTAACCGAAACAAATACTACCAACATTTGCAATTGTCTTAGTTCGCATGTTTTCTTCAAGTTGAGTGTGCGCCAATCAAGAGGAACGTATAAAAATATCTATTTTTTCGACCTTTTTCAAAACTTGGTTAAATTCGCGAACCAAAGATGATTCCATGTCTATATTGAGCTCTTCACTGATAATGCTTGTGACTGGAATGTTCGGCTAAGGTGATTTTAAAAAAGTGGTGCAATGACGTCAGTGCGATTCCAGCCGAATAAGTTTTTTGAATGCTTTTGTCCCTTGTTTGATTTTGTGCTGATTCTACAAAATGTCAATTCCCAAAGCAGATTAAGTCTTTAGTAATTGATGATCAGCTGTTGCGTTTTGCAAGCTGATCAGATAACTACCGATATATTTGACTCATGTGTACCCTTGGGATGTGTAAGGGTATTGAAACCGGGTAGTAGACCTTCCCGTAAATTATTTTGTTCATAGGATCGCAAAAGTTAACTGATTTTCCAATATGTACTTTCGAAATTCATCAATCATTATTTAAGCATGTCTGCGTTCTAAATACCCGTCACTTTCAAAATTGTCTAATGTTGGTTGTAAATTTACCAATTCCAGTTTGTTGAAATTTCATTTGTTTCTTGTTCTTTTTTAACTTATCGGTTACAAAGATTTCGGGTTATCTTATAAGCTTTGTGGCCTCGTATTCTGTGGTATGAGCAAATATATTTTATAAGAGTGTGTTCGTGTTTTGAGAGAGGGAACTTGAAAACTTCTTCTGACTTCCAATTTTTTCGATGAAAATGTTGGTTTTTTTTTCGCCTCAAAAGGGTAGCTGCTCTAGTATTGTCGGCTTTGTGACCGCTTAGTAAAGATTTTTTTTGCAAAGTTTAATTGTTGTCCTTGACAGGTTTTTCTCAAACTAAAAGTAATTCAAGCCAAATTATGACAAAACCTAAAATTTATGATCGATCTTGTTTTTTGTGACTTTTTTCGACAGCGGTTTTCGTTTCATTTTATGCCCGGTAATTTGTCATGCTTCGTTTGTATTGTTTTGTAAGCGTCAATTAAGTAAAGGGTATTCTGTCAATATAATGTTTCCAAAAGAAACAACTTATCTCTTTCTGTCACATGACAATGTTAGCAGCTAGAGCGATTATTAGTTTATCTTAAGTTTTGAAGTTTGGTTGAATTTTTTAGTTAATTAGTTTTTTTTGCCAAAATTTAAAAGACTTGTGAAAGAAAACGAAAAATCAGTGTCTATTAATGTTTTAACGATAGTTATTTCTGTATGAGAAATGCAAATTTCTCACCGAGAGAAGTTTATACCGTAAACAAATTTGAAGTTGAAAATGAGTTTCAAAAGAACATCTGTAATTTTTTTTCAGTAATCATTTCAATATAAATATTAGAATTGTTTTTTTTAAAAAGATTGTTGGCATGATGATTTTGCGTTCTGTAACATCTAATGGTTTTTCTCACTTGAATTTTCTGTGTTACTTGCACACTAACCACCTTTCCCGGTTTAGCACGTCTGTTGCTGTCTGTAAGTCGGTCATACAAGCGACATTTTCAGCAAATACTTGCGCCTGATACTGAATTAGATAGTTTGAGAATGTGACACAGGAAGTGCTAAAATGAGAAAAAAATGGGATAGCGTTTCTATCACGCACTTATCAAAAAAAGTTAGAAAAAAAACTGATAATGGTGTTTCTATCTTGTATCTATCACATGGCAATATAAGAAGCAAAAACGATTATTGCTGAACCGTCTTCTAGTCCTTAATTTTGTTCTCATTTTTTTTTTGGTTAGAAGTTAAATCGGGAGCCGGTTGGAACGAGAGTTATCTGCGGTTTTTTTTTGCTTGTGTCTGAGAAGTGCATTTTGACTCAGAATGAAAAGTTTCTTGAAGTTTCTTTTCATAAAAGTTTCTTGAATTTTGTTTTTGTTTTCGTCTCTCGATTTCACATAGTTTTACTGATATTTTTTGGTGTTTTTTTACGTATTAAAATTTTTCCATTGAAAAAAGGAAGATTTTTGGCAATCCAGATACTTTTTGCGTGAAATAACTCATTTTGGAACGTAGACTGGCAAGTTTGTTTTTACATCCGTTTCTGAACGAAATCTAAATCAGTTTCGCCTCAAAAGGGTGGCTGCGAAATCTAAAATAAATCAAAGCAGATTAAGTCTTTAGTAATTGATGATCAGCTATTGCGTTTTGCAAGCTGATCAGATAATTACCGATATATTTGACTCATATGTACCCTTGGGATGAGTAAGGGTATTGAATCCGGGTAGTAGACTTTCCCGTAAATTATTTTGTTCACAGGATCGCAAAACTTAACTGATTTTCTAATTTGTACTTTCGAAATTCATCAATTATTATTTTAGCATGTCTGCGTTCTAAATACCCGTCACTTTTTAAAGTTGTCTAATGTTGGTTGTAAATTTACCAATTCCAATTTGTTGAAATTTCTTTTATGTTTCTTTTTCTTTTTTAACTTATCGGTTACAAAGATTTCTGGTTATTTTATCAGCTTTGTGGCCTCGTATTCTGTCGTATGAGCAAATATATTTTATAAGAGTGTGTTCGTGTTTTGAGAGAGGGAACTTGGAAACTTCTTCTGACTTCCAATTTTTTAGATGAAAATGTTCGTTTTTTTTTCGCCTGAAAAGGGTGGCTGCTCTAGTATTGTCGGCTTTGTGACCGCTTAGTAAATATTTTTTTGCAAAGTTTAATTGTTGTCCCTGACAGATTTTTCTCAAACTAAAAGTAATTCAAGCCAAATTATGACAAAACCTAAAATTTATGATAGATCTTGTTTTTTGTGAATTTTTTCGACAGCGGTTTTCGTTTCATTTTATGCCCGGTAATTTGTCATGCTTCGTTTGTACTGTTTTGTAAGCGTCAATTAAGTAAAGGGTATGTGTCAATATAATGTTTCCAAAAGAAGGAACCTGAGAGAAGTTTAATAAGGCCAGAGGAAATGCTCAAAATTATCGAAAAAAGGAAACAAGTTATCTGTTTCTGTCACATGACAATGTTAGCAGCTAGAGCGATTATTAATTTATCTTGAGTTTTGAAGTTTGGTTAATTTTCTTAGTTAATTAGTTATTTTTTTTGGCCAAAATTTAAAAGAATTGTGAAAGAAAACAAAAAATCAGTGTCTACTAATGTTTTAACGATATTATTTCTGTATGAGAACTGCAATTTTCTCACCGAGAAAAGTTTCTACCGTAAACAAATTTGAAGTTGAAAATGAGTTTCAAAAGAAAATCTGTAATTTTTTTTTCAAATTCTCATTTCAATATAAATGTTAGAATTGTTTTTTTAAAAGATTGTTGGCATGATGATTTTGCGTTCTGTAACATCTAATGGTTTTTCTCACATACATTTTGGTCAAAATTGATATAAGAGAAAATGAATTGCAGAATATTTAATTCAAAATTGAAAAGCAAGCTTTTTCATCATATATTTCACACATATTCGATTTTCGGTATTTATTCAGTCATTTTGCAAACCTTATTTCATTCGAATACCAAAAATAGGGGAAAATTTCCATTGTGGCCGAAAACTTTTTTGAGTAATGAACGTAGTGAAAACTCATAGGTGTTGCTGATTTTTTTTTCAGGGAAAAGTCGTTAAAAATTGATGCACGTAGGTTTAATGCACTTTTTGAGTTCAATTGAAATTCATCTGCTGAAGTTGAGGTAAATGGCGCAAAAAACGTGGACGGTTTCTAATTTCGAAAGTGGAATTTAATTTCTAGGTTTTCGAGCGCAGCGAAAACTCTTCCTATTGATCCAGTTTTCTCAAGTTGGGTTCATGTTATCAAAAAAGCGCCAATCTTAAATTGTTCTAGAAATTCAAAGAGTTTAAAGGACATCTATTTTTTCTTTGAAATTCGAAAATTAAGATTTTTCAAGAAAGTCAGCGTTTTCTTTCATGTTTACTTGCGTTCATTACTCTTTTCCAATCTTCGATTGGCTATGTTTTAAATATGTAGTAGCTGTTTTTGATTAGAACGCGAGGTGGATGCCATTGCAAAGAATGAAAAATTATTAGGCTAGCTCCAGCAGTCATTTACTATGCCCCAGTCATTTGAAACTTTCAGGTTTATTTCTTGCGTTGGATTTTCGAAGTTTTTTCTAATGCTAAATCAGTTTTTTTTCCTATTATTACCCTGAAAAGTATTATAGTCATCAGTATAGTGGTTGTGCACAAATAAGCAAGCTTCTGGATTAATGTTTTGAGAGTTGTTTGTTCTAGTTGGTTATTTTTGCTCTTTTATAGTCACTTGTTTCTTGTTGTTCAACCTGAAGCTTGTTCTTGGAAGCTGCAAGAGAGTATCTCGCATTACTTGCCAGTCGGCTAATTGGAGTCGTATGTGAACTCAAATGACGAGTCAAATGATGCCTTTCTTTGAAACTTTCCCCACACGAGGAACACTTGAAATTCTTGATCACATTTTTAAACGCCGATGTTTTCACGGAATCAGAACTGATTTTCCCTGCCATTGATGAACTGTTGGGTTTTTCGTTGGCTGTTGAATTCCCGCATGCGTGGAAGTTTCGCATATGCTGAACTAAATCGCTCGTTAGTCGAAATGAGATGCTGCAGTGTGCACACCAGTTGACAGCTTCAATTGCGGAACCCAAGTTGGCGCTCAGAACTGGCGAAACGCCCAGTTGACTCACGGGGTTCAGATTGAATGTGCCACCCGAATTGTTGAAATAGTGAGTAGGGTTTCCTTGCACTAGTCTGTTCTGGTTGTGAGTGTGGAGTGGTTGGGTGGATTTCAAGTGAGCAACTTGCTGTGGGTCGTTGAGAATGGCTGCTGTGTTGCTGTACAAGTCTTGTATAGGGTAGTGCTGAGAAAAGTTGTTGTAGAATATTTGAGGATTAGCATGTAGTGACGTTTTCCATGTTTCTTGCCATGCTACCAGATGCTTATAGTCCTGAAAAAACAGGAAATGTAACTTGGCCAGTAAATTGGTAATTATTGTGATTCTCCTGGCGCAGGGCGTCTTTTTTTCATGCAAAATAAGGTACCATAAATAAGATAGGTTGTAATTTGTAATATTAAAATTTTTTAAGATGTGAATCTTGTTGCCCGTGAAACCGGTTGAAAAGGCAAAATTGGAAAAGGGGAAAACGTTTTTTTTTCATCAGGCGTACTTTTTATAAGTTACCGTGGTCGGGACAATCTGCGCTATTTGCGAAGCAACCGGCTTAGTTTTGTTTGTTATTGATTAATTTGAAAACAACCAACCTGAAGTTTTGAGTGATCCTTGTTCGTGATTACACTGGTCCGGTTGAAGTTATTAGTATCTGCTTCCTTACTGTTATCTAGAAACAATTTTTTATTTATGTGCCAATAATAATGAAATCCTTCATTCAAAATGTATCGGATTTAACGCACCTCGTAGTTTGGAACTGTCGCTCGCCTGTTTGAGATAGAATTGGATGAGTTGCTCATTTATGCCTCGTGTTGTATACTCGAACAGGAGGTGTTCTTGGATGCTCTTTTCGTTGTTGGGCACTGACTTGAAACAATAGGGGCAACGATACTGCTCAACTTCGCTGCATTGACTCGTGTCTTCTTTTTTAGTGTTTTTGCTGATGGGGCTCGAAGAAATGACTGAGTTAATGTCAGACATAATCAGTTGAAATTGAACAAATGTTTGTTCTTCTGAATTTTCAAACTGGAAATATGAATCTGCCGCTAATGAATTGTAGCCGATGTGACTGGACGTAGGTTGAGTGGAGCTGACTTGATCAAATTGAGGCTGGGAGAATGTGTCAATCCATCAATTAGATTCCTTCTCTCAATCATCCAGCGGAATCTGTTATTGTGTGTTATCTGGTGTCAATTAGGCCAGTTAAGTCGAGTGTGATTAAGTGAAGACAGGGCTAATGTGTTGGTATGTTGGTTGGGTGTCACGTTCGCCTGATTAGGTAGATATGGGAATTGGAATAATCGGCAATGAGTTTTGGAGATAATTCATCTGAAAATGTCATTTTCGCCTCGTTTATTCATATTTAATGTGACACAAATTGCTTGTTTGTCAAGCTCTCTCCGCTCATAAATAGACAGGTTCCAAACTAATGAAGATAGAAGTCTGCTAATTCTGATAATTTTCAATTTCTGATTTTATGTTATGTTCAAACTTCTAAAACAGCAGTTGATTAAACCTGTCTTTGAAATGGGCTCCTCTGAACTAAACTGATCGATTCATTTGAACTATTTGGGCTGTTGATTAGTTTTCGGGGGGCATTATTTGAGCAGATTTTCTACAATTTTGATTGTGATAATTCGATTTGAGCTCAATTGATAAGCCTTTGTTTCTCTGATTTGGCTAAAATAAGATTTGCGGAATTGTTAAATCAATTGAGGAACTTATATGCTGCCTATTGTCCACCTAATCCGTAGGTTATCAATTTAACCGCGCATTATGTTCGCACAGTTTCTCACTGACAGCAATGCCCAGGGGAGAAAATTAGGGAAAAACAGTCGGCAGCTAAAAACTAGTGGCCGATTGCTGAACATTTAACTTGTATCTTTTTCTCTCTCTTCATCTCGAGTGCCAATTGGGCAATCAGTTGTTAATCGACAGCTTAAAATTGAATCAGGGAATAATGCCAATTGGAAATGTTGAAGCACCTGTTGATGTATTCATTTATTTGCAAGATCCTCGTCTTATACACGAGGATATTAAAGATGCTTGAAGATTTCCGTGCAAGTTATTTCAGGTTTTATCAAAATAAGCGCCAAATTAATGAAAACTCTACAATAAGAACAATGTTTAACACAAAAACTAGGTGAAGTTACTTTTTTATCTTTTGCTTCAGACCAATGTCCACGGCACAAAATCAAACTGGAGGTCAACATCTCTGAGTTCAAAGGTCAACGGAATCTACAAACTAATTCTTCACACTGTTTCTGAATCTCTTCTCGGTGCCGTCAAACCATCTAAATCTGAAATAAGTTGTGTTTGTAATGTTCCTGCTTTTCAGTTGAAATTTTTTCCAAGTGCAATACAGTGTCCTAGCATGGTGCATCAAATACGTAATTTATATTTGTATTTTTTATCACATGATTGTTAAGAAGTTTTCCACCATAATCGATCTGTTGAATCGTTTTTCACGTTGTCTTGTCATCTTTAGTTAGAAAATCCAGAATGCTGTAATTTATAATTATCATTTAAATTCCAACTGTTAATAAATAATTTTTTGTTATTCTGTTAAAGTTTAATCTGTTGAATTTCTGAATAGAATTTATCTCCGCAAGTTTTCTTAAAACTTCATTTTAGAATCAGTTGAAATTACTAGGGAGGAGGTCTTGTGTTCACAGATTAAAGAGCCGATGAACGTAGTTCAGACTGTTATATGGGTCATGATGATTTTTTTGATTTTATTTTTACGAAAAGTATTTTGTTCAGGCTCAAATTTACGCGGTACTTCGCGGTTTGACTTAAGATTTTTTTCTAATGTTGAGTTCATTTCCGTCTTGAATGGAAAGAAAACTCCAATTTCGAACAGCAAAATTGTAAAGGTCATAAAAAACTTAATCGGTTTCTAGTTTCGAAAGTGGAATTTAAGTTTTCGATTTTCAAGCGGAATAAAATTTTTATAAGAGTAATGTACGTAGCGAAGACTTTTATATAGGTCTTGATGATTGTTTTTTTTTTTTACCCAAAAGTCTTAAAATATTCTATTAACTACAGATGTGCACATTCATACATGTTAATGCATATATGAATGCACTTAGGTACATATGCACTTTTTGAGTTCAATTGAAATTTATCTGCTGAAAGTTACGTAAATAGCACTCTCGAAATACAAATGTGGAAATGATGCGAAAAAACGTGAACAATTTTTCTATTTTCGAACGTGGAATTTCTCAAGTTGGGTTAATGTTATTAGAAAGCGCCATTTATAATTTTTTATAGAAATTCAAAGAGCTTAAAGGGCACTTTTTCTTCGAATGCCGATTTTTTCATCAAAGTGAGCGTTTTTTTTCTGTTTCCTTGCGTTCATTACTCTTTTTCAGCTGTCAGTTGGCTATGTTTAGTATGCTTTTCATGGAAAAGTGTGATTTGGGAGCATTGGAGGACGTACGGCCTACGTCAGTTATTGTCGTGTTTTGTGATACAAGTCCAATGTTTTAAGTGTGACACTAGCTCAATATTCTCGTAAAGTCGATATTAACCGGCTCTTGTTCCTTTTCCCCTCACCTTTTCCACCTTTACCTTGTCCGATTGCGATGAAAATGGGCATGCGGTATAATTAAGCCATGAAAAACATATTTGATTCTGATACTCAACATTGGGGGGGGGGGGGGGGGGTTTGAGAATAAGAGAATAAGATCCCATTAACAAGTCATTAATCTGAGCAAAAATTTATACAAAAAGAAAAATACAACCTTTGAAGGCTTAGAAAACTTTCTATAAGACCTAAGACATTTGTAACATATTAGTATAATTCACTTGGTTCAGTGATCTTTCTAGACAAGTTAATCGAAAATTGAGTAATTCTTAGTAGATAAAAATTCCGTTGCAAGGTAAATAAGACATTGGGATATTGAGGCACGCATTATTATGAAGACTAAATCATTTTGCATTTTTCTGATTTGTTACGTGATATTTTTCAACAAAGCACGCGAATGGATCCTGCATTTTTTCTTAAGTTTCAATGAACGAAGTGAAAACACTTGTATAAATCGTATTTTTTACTAAAAAATTGAGTTGATCCCACTCAAATTTGTTTTTAGCGGTTTTATGTTGTTTTTTAAAATCGTTTGCTGAAAAATCAGTACATTCCACTCATCGTTGGCTTCCAGTTTCGAAATAGGATTTATATTATTAGATTTCTCAGCGGAATAAAAAATTTTACCCGTTATTGCAGTTGTTTTTTCATATTGGCTTTTTGAGAGAGAGAGAGAGAGAGAGAGAGGGGACACTTTATTGTTTCAATATACTTATGCAGTTGCAGAACTGATTGTATAAGAATCTAGTGTACAATATTACGCAATGGTTATATAACATAACAAGAAAAAACATAAATTACTACGAGGTTGAATCAAATATTTGATTTAACAAAATAAATGTCCTTGGATACGGAAAGACTCTCCTTATTGGGTAACAGGGTGTCATCTTTTCCTATGATGAAATTTTTAATCAGAGTTTTTGTCAATGTGTACGGCAGTTTTCGATTAAACAAGGTTCGGATTATTATGTTAAGGTTCCTGATTGATGTAAATAAGAAAGACTTACGAAGGAAATCAGTTTTACATGTTAAAGGGAACAGTAATGTTCCAGTTCGATGGTTATAGCGGAATTCAGAATTTGGGAATCTTATATGCGTGAAAGCTGGGGCATCGTTTCGGCATAACCTGTGAAGGTAGTGTGCTGATCGGTACTCGATAATATTCCGAGCAGTAGGAATTTTGTGCTGTTTCCTTAGAAGTGTAACGGAATCACGTTTGCTTATATTCATTATTATCCTGATTCCCCATTTTATTTGTTTTTCGAGTTTCTCAATATTATCTTGCGTACATCCGTTTAAGAGCATGCATGGATAGTGCAAATGGCTCAGTACAAGAGTATTTAACAGGAGAATTCTAGTACGCAGAGGGATTTCGTCACGGATGCATTTTATCGTTTGGATTGCTGTAGCCATTTTTTGTAAAATTTTGTTAATTTCTTTGTCGAATGTTAAGCTTATGTCAATATTGACGCCGAGAAATTTAACTGTCTCTGTTAAATTAACTTGATAGTTTCCAACTTTCAATGAAAGATTTTCAGTTAGTTTCTTTTTCGACGGTGCAGAAAATACAATGAACTGGGTTTTGTCTACATTAATCATTAATCGATTTAAGTGAAAATACAAGAGAATTTTATTGAAATTGTTTTCAATGCTCTTTGTTGCTGTTTCGGGATCTGAATGAAAACTAAGCAGAGTCGTGTCGTCGGCATATTGTACTAACGTACATGATTTGTCTATTGTTTGTGGTAAGTCATTTACATACAAGTTGAACAGCAGTGGTCCTAGTACAGTACCTTGGGGAACACCTTGCTCTAATTTAAGCCAATCTGAGTGTTCGCCGTTTACTATTGTCAATTGCTGTCTGTTTTCTAGAAATGACTTAATAAGAGTTGTTGCTGACTGTTCAAAGCCAATGTGACTTAGTTTCCTTTCAAGGACTGAATGAGAGAGTGAATCAAATGCTTTAGATAAATCAAGAAATGCAGCCGCTGCTATGTTATTTTTATCGAGATGGAATCTGATTTTTTCTGTTGTGTATAAAAGAGCATCATTAGTTGAATAACCTGGACGAAAGCCAAATTGTTTTGGATTTAGAATATTGGAATTTGCTAAGAATTCGTGAATTTGGGATGAAAAAATTTTTTCAAACAACTTCGATAGCGTGGGTGTAATAGAAATTGGACGATAATTTACTGGATCTGTCGAGTCGCCTTTTTTGAATATGGGAAAAACGTGTGCCTTTTTTAAGGTATATGGGAATACGGATTTCGAGATGCAATCATTGATAATCATCGTAAGAATTGGGTTTACAGTATTAATGCTGTCTTTTAGAGCCCAAGCAGGGATTTTGCTTGGTCCTAATGGCTTGTTTAAGGGAAGTAATAAAATTGCATCTTTCATTTCTTTGTGAGTTATGAACCTGAATTGAAAGTGCCTATTTGTTTTGCTGTGTACACTGTACTCAGTTGGTACATCTATGGGAGGATCTGCGTTTTTGTATTCTCCTAATGTTGAGAACCTGTAGTTAAGGAAATTTGCTTTCTTCTTATTTTCAATTATAGTGTCGCCAAACGAATTCCGTAGATCACCTATTTGCGTTGACTGTTTCATGGTGTTCCTGATAGAGTTTATGAAATTCCATTGTTTTTTTGGACAGTCAAGCATTTTGAATTGAGCTGTTTTCTCTTTCTTGTATAAATGTTTTAGATGATTGTTGTATTTATTTCTTATTCGTTTATAGTTTTCAAAATTGGCATCTGTTCTTGATAATTGATATGCCTTTAGAAGATTTTCTTTTTCCTGTTTTAAAGGTCTATTGACTGAGTTAAGTACTTTACCAGACAGCTGTAGCTGCGGTTTATTTCGGATATACTTCTGCTCTAGTGGTGCGTGAGCGTTTAGGGCATGCGAGAAAATATCTTCAAATTTTATTAACATTTTAGAGATATCGTTTTCTTGGTAGACGAGAAACCATGGACTCTGTTTAAGTTCCTCGCAGAACCTATTTTTACAATAATTGGTTTTGTTGAAGCGAAAAGTTCGAATTGGAATGGCTTTTTCGAATCGTTTTAGTTTGCTAATACACATTGTTATTAAATGGTCCGTGTTTATAGGTGGTTCTGCTACAATAGTTTCTTTACAAAGAGATTTGGTTGCTATAATGTTATCTAAAATGGATTGGCTGTTTTTAGAGTTGTATGTCGGTATCGACTTATTGGTTATTGACAAATTGTATGGTTTAATAGAATCGCTGAGAAATTTAGCTTCATGTTTATTCAAGTAGTTAATATTGAAATCTCCCAAAATCGTAACATCTCGCGCTTCGGAGGCAGCGTAATCGATACCCTTTAGTGTATCTTCTATAAAACTTTCCTTGAATTGTTTGTGTGGATTGTAGGCAATAGCAATTATCTGTCTTTTTGATTTTTTTGAGATGATTGGGCTATATTCCACCCAGAGTCCTTCAAAATGGGAGGGACGTAGATAATTTAAATCTTCTCGAATCTTAGGGTTAAATTTTTTCGGAATAATAAGAAGAGTACCACCACCTGCGTGTTGACCAGTGCATTTTTTGTTACGGTCGCATCTAAAAATTTCATGGGTTGTTTTGCAGAATGAATAAGTTTGATGATCGCATGTTTCGTCAAGCCAGGTTTCCGTAAGACCGATAATTGTGTTTGAGTCAACTATTTCTGACAGGAAACGCATTTCCATGTGTTTGTTCTTTATGCTTCTACAATTTAGAGTTATATATTTGAGGAAGTTGTGGTGTTCCTTTGCTTTGTTTGCCAGGATTTCATATGAAAGTGCGGGACCTGGATTGACTTCGATGTCCCCACATTGAAGAAGCAGGATTTCCAATATTCCAATCTGAAAGGTTAGTACCACAACTGCGCAATAGATGCCAGCTGTGAATCTAAAGTGGCGGTTAGACGTCATGTTTCTAGTTTTGAGTAGTGCGGTGCTGTTGGGTTCATTGTACTTAATGGGAATGCTAGTTAAAAGGGAGAAAATAAGGAGAGTCTTTAAAAGCCATTGGCTAAACATAAATTTGATAGATCCAGATCATTGGGTAATAGCCTACTAAAACAGCATTAGTATGGATAGTATCTATTATGGCGTAAGTCATAATTACTACGATTGGTATTCATATAATTGTAGGTTTGACTGTTGCTGAAACCATGGCTCGCAAGACTCTTTGGGTGCTCGGGGCCCCACGAGACTTGGCTTGAACCAGGTTTCATACGATTCCTTTGAGGGTGCGCTGGGCCCCTAGAGTTGGAAGTATTCGGAGAAACAACTCGAGGTGATAAGCTGGATAATGGTAGCACCTTTTCCATGATTGCATTTTTTAAAGTACTAACAGAACGCATCAAATGTACTTCATCAAAGAAGATTGACTGATAGTCGTTTATGCTGACAATTTTATCGTATATAGGAACAATTTGATACTTTTTTTTCTTAAATTTATGGGCAATAAGGCTGTTGAATTCAGTTATACGTTTACCACTTACAGAATCGGGTCCCGATTTCACAGGCGGGACTTGGCATATATTGATTATTGTAGGTGAAAACTTTGTCTCAATTTCACTAATGGTGGCGCAAAAAGTTTCAAATATATCATCTACAGGTTTGTGTAGTTCCCTTGTGAGTGAATTGGTGCCGTCCTGGAAGGTTACTGATTTCAGCTCAGTATCGTCGTACTTTTTCACAACTGATTGTTTCTCGCTGCAAAATGACCCGCGGTAAGAATGAACGGCCACGTCTTTGGGCAGCTCCTTCGTGTCAAACTCCGCTAAAAAACTCGAACCAATAATCAAGTTTTGAGTATCAGTGGGGATTACTTTGGCAGCAAAATCAATAGGTGCTCTGAGTCCTTTTGCGTTTTGATTACTGTTTGGAGGATTATTGGATGTTGCTAGTACATTGACAAGGTTATATATTTGAACGTAGTACTTATCTTTTTGTTCGGGATTGAGTTTCGTGAAGTCGTCGGGCAGCATCAGAAGCATTGGTGTTGACATTGTGTGAAGCCAGAAAAATGCCAGGAATAATGGTGCTGTTGGTGTCAAGGATAATATGCTGAAGTTAGTAGTCAGTGCCCAAAGAATGGCAACTAGTGTTTCATCACTCTCTGAAACTATTTAATAAGTTTATCACAACAATTAGGCTTAGTTGTCAGTGATTGATTCCCATTGTTAAAATGAACATATATTTTTGAAGTTCAAAGACCGTGATAATAATATATTTTTTCATTGAAATCCGGAAGATCAAAATTTTACAAATAATGGAATTCTCTGTCGGTTCCAGTCTTAAATTGAGTTAAATTAATACGAAAATGTTATAATTAAAAGATGCCTAAAAATTCAAACATAGCCAACTGACGGTTGGAAGGAGTAATGAACGCTAGGAAACAGAAAAAGCTGACTTTTTTTGAAAGAAAATCAACTTTTGAATTAAAAAAAAAGAATATATGCACAAAATCTCTTTGAATTTCGCGAATAATTTATGTTTGGTGTTTTTTTGATAAAATTAACTCAATTTGAGAAAACTGGATCAATAGGTAAAATTATATTTTGCCGAGAAATCTGATAATTAAATTCAATTCGACGCTTTTTGTGACCTTTTCGTTTTTGCTGCTCAATAGCGGAGTTTGCCGTGCTTATGACAAAGGAAACGAAAAAAAACTGAAAAGGCCTATATAAGAGTATTCACTACGCTCATTGCCTTTTACACTAGCTTTCAGCATTGTGTAATATTACGAGCGTTCTTTTTCTTCTAAAATAACACGTCATTTAAAGTCTTCATTAAAAGTTCACGAAGCAAAGTGTATTAGCACGAACTGTTTTCTCCAACCTAAGCCGCAAATAAAAGAGCTACTTTTGGTGTAACTTTTGAATCGGTAGGCTGCGGTAGCAGTAAATTATCTTATGTGCTTCGACATTTGATTAGTAAAAAGTTAACGCAGCTGATGCACCGCATCAAATGAACCGATAAAAGTTATTTGTATCAAACAGCAGTACAATGATAAACAGCTCGATTTTCCAACTCGTAATTTATACATAATTTGGCTTCATGCTTTCCAATTTATTACACACAAAATTGTGTCTTTTTGTATTTTTGGCTACTTTTGCTGCATGGAATTGGCAATTTATTGGCATATGTAGCTGCATTATTGGTGGCTAGTTTTTGGGGATTTTAAGCATCCGTAGCTAGTGCAGTAGACTCAAATTTGCTAGGTTGCAGATTCGAATCCGACACGTAGCCGAGTTTTTGCTCATTCGAGGCTTATTTCTGTTTTTTTTATAGAGCTTCTTTTTGGTCGTGTTCTCGCAAGTGTTTGCGAAGCGCAGCTTTGCCTCTGAAAATTCTCACTTCCCTGCTTTTGTCTATTTATTTTGCGCGTAAACAAGAAATCATAATAATCTTTCTCAAGTTTTGTCAAATGTCAACCCAATACGAGGAAACGCATTGAAAATTTTCTGTTTTGTACGTTTGGTCTGGATGAAATAAATCATCAAAAGTTCTTTACTGGTCATAGTTGAAGATGAAGCATTTTGGTCAATTTTGTTCACGTATCAAATCAATGAATTTGCTCACATATCTTAATTTATTTTAACTTATCTTATGTCTTGCTGATAAAAACTTTAGAAAAAATAATTTTTCCCATTTTTCTTTTGAAAATTCTAACTCTTTGTGTTTACTTTTTTACACTAGCCGGCAGCGTAGTGTTTTAGTAAGAACCTTTTGTTCTAATCTAACTCGCAATTAAAAGTGTTTACGACAGATGTTCTCTTATTTGGTGGCACTTTTGCTATAATCACGATCTGTAGCATTGGAAATTTCATAGCATCTGTTCTCTGCTTTATTTTTGGCTATTGTTTGTGATTTATTAAGCGTGCGTGGCTGAGCGGTTAGTGTGTGTGACTCATAATCTTTAGGTCGCAGGTTCGAATCTCAGATGTAATCGAAATTTTTACTAATTCGAGACTTATTTCTATTTTTCTTATTGCCTTTTATAGAGCTACTTTTTGTCGTGTTCCGACTAGTGATAGCGAAGCCTCTGTGTAAGCTTGGCCTCTGTGTAAACAGCTCAAAATTGATGTCAACTTTTAATGAAGATCGAGTTAATCAGTCGTATTTGTTTGATTTTCTTGTTCATTAACACTTATCCTATTGTCTATCCTCTGTATCATTTCGTATAATCGTTAAGCGTTACTAAAGTAAAACCATTGCATGGCTTCGCAAATTTCATATATCTTGCAAAAACTTTCACTTTTGAAAACGTTGGAAACTTTTTTAGAAACATCGGCTGATGGTTTTTTTTAATTTACGCTAGCAATTGCTTGTGTTATGATAGCATGATTTTGTTACTTTTCCAATCTCATGAGCTTACTTTTCCAACCAGCTCGCTCATTTTTGTGTCCCAGTTTTGTTCAGTTTCTTTGGCGATACCCAATTACGAAAGCGAAATGGCGCTTCAAAGTGAAATCAGAAGTCCTTTACGTTGAAGGATCCAACATGAAGGGCTTCTAATTTCAAAAAAAAATTCTTACATTTCCCAGCGGAATGAAAAATTTAGCCATTGATTAAATCTTGAATTGATTTAATTTTATCGTAAAAGGGCCAATCATAAGTTAATCTTGAAATTCAAAGAGCTTCAACTTGGTATATTTTTTTTCGTCGAAATTCGAAAAAAAGGTTTTATTCTTTAACTCTCTTCCAACCTTCTGTTGGCTATGTTTTGTCCATGCTAATAATCTGCATTCATTGATGATTTGTTTTTAACGTTAGAGGATATGTTAACTACGTAAGACAACAAAAGGGCTAGTGGAGAAGTCGATTGACTCGCAATCTGGAGGTCCATGGTTGAATTCCTGTAATTGGCTTAATGGTTGTTGCTTTTCAAAGCTTAGCTTATCTCGATTTTATCACATTATTTTTTGTAGCAGGCCATGTTTCGCTTGTGTATGCGAATTGCAGCTTAGCCGAGGTGTTAAACAATTGCATTCAATTTCAGTTAAATTATGGATGTTGTGTCTTCCTCTACACAAGTAATTCTGGATTCCATGAGTCTGGATGACTGCCTAGAGGCGTTCCGAAAAACAGATTGCATTATGGAGCCTTCAGTTATTCAATTTTTGACTCGATACATTGAAAAAGGTGGAACTCCAGAGATTGCTATTAAGGAGCTTTCCAAAAGCTACTTGTCCTTAGCACAAATGGTTAACTTGCTTGCAGATTGGATGGTTCAATTAGGCCTTGAGCCGGCTAAAATCCAAGATCTTATTGAAAATCATTATTACAATTTGGTAATCAAATATTTTGATCCTAAAAAAGCGGACAAAATTTTCAATGTGGAAGGAAAAATTCCTGACTGGCTTGGCGGACTAGTTGAGAACCAAAAATGGAGGAAGCTGATTTACCAGCTAGCTGAGGAGTACCCTGATTGTTTGATGCTAACATTTACTGTTAAGTTGATAGCAGAATCTGGATTTCAAGGTGAAATAACGGGGGTTGCTACAGCTAGTCAGCAGCTTGAAGTTTTTGCTGGCGTCCTCAACACTGAAATAATGAACATCGTTAACGAAAAGTCTTCGGCGATTCAGCATCACATTAAAGAACTCTGCTCAATGGTAAATTACGGCGAACACTCTTTTCTGTTTTCAATTATTTTGCTGTCGTACTTAGAAGAAAGCCCTTACGGTGGATCAATGGCATATCGAATTAAGCAAGAGATAATCAAATCTTCGAGCGGCAGTGAAAACTTGACGGATATTATTGCCATCAATTTCGCTGTTTCAAAAACACAAATGCATCCAAGAGCTTTACATGCAATGAGCTCGATGCTGAGTAAAAATCAGCTAAACCCTGCTGACATAACTATATTGTACAAACTATATCAAGTTGGACACGACGAGTCAGCCGTGCCGACAGTTTCCCTGTTGAAGGATCCAATTTTTCTAGAACTTTTAGTCGCATGTGTGTTCTGTAAAGAGCCAAAAATTAACACAGATCATAAAGCAAAGTACATCTATCTACTTGCTTACGCGGTGTCAGTCGTGGAAGACTGGAAGTACTGTAAAAGTGATGGATCTTACAGACGGACGTCCATTGACACGGAGGATCTGCAGTCGACCTTGGTTGCAATTGACAGAGTAAACGAGGTGCTCTGGAACAAGGGAAGTGGCAGAGAACTGGTGCAGGAGGTTGAACTAGTCCACGAATGCATTCGGGTTCCTGTCGTGGCTTTTGGCATTACAAATTGGGTTGAGGAGATTGTCCAAGATGACTCATTTTATGATCGAACAACAGACCCCATACCCGTTCCATTGTTGTTACTCGATGAGGTCATAACCGTACATCAGCTTCAGCATGAACATGTTTTCCAGCTGCTGAAAAAACTATTCCTTCACTCTTTTTCGTTTCTGTCCACGCATGCCAAACTGGAGATGGAGAAGGTCATAGCCGATCGAATGATTCATCTCGTTTGTAACGATTTTGTCATACCGGTTATTCAATTTTTTGCAGACTGTTTGAAAAACTTGAACTCTGATACTAGTGTAATTAGATACTTTCTCTCGATGTTGCTGGATTTGATTGGGGCTCCTTTTAGTGACGAGTTTGTAATTGCTATTCAGCCTTTATGTATAGATGACTCATTGATACATGCAGTGCAAAGTAAAGCGAATGAAAATCTCGATATCCAGGCCTTATTTGACCGAATAGAAACTATTTAGAACTCAGTTTTTGTTTTGACCGCCGGTTTGGAGTACTTTCTTTTTGATGAAAAATTAGTTGCAGCAAAGAGACGTCGTTCGGAATCTAGTGACATGCAATATCACAGCCTTTTAATAAAGTTTTTGTTATTTCCCGAAAAAAAAACTGACTTGATCATCTTTAGCTGTTCAGGACACAATCAAGCTCAATATATATTTCGGCAGGCATTTTTAAACGAATCAAACAAAAAACCTCAAGCGACATTGCTTTAACGCAAATGTGTTGAGCTTAAAAAATTTGCGACCGAATATCATAAGAGATTTCGACCGAATATCAAATCATAGAATTTCGAATTTTCAATAAGTATTTTTATCAGCTTATTTTCAGCTTAGGCAAAATCAGTCCGAACAATTTTTCGACAATAGACCTCTTCGAATTTAAGACAATTTATATAGTATGAAGCGTAATATAATACTGATAACAGGGTGACGGAAAGCAAATTAGACTTCATTAATAAAACGGAATTTAGATTTATTGCAAAACAAGCATTTTGGACGAAAAACAATGTGGTAAAAAACCCTGTTAACTCAAAGTAATTTTAAAAAAAAATTAATAATTCCATTGCATATTCAAATATTTATTTGTGAAGCTAGTGTATTAGTACGAACCTTCTTTTTTCAACCTAAGTCGAAAATATTGGCGCGGCACCCCAATATGGTGAGGCACCTTTACAGCTTTTTGATAGCATGTGCTTTGACATCCGAATAGTAATAAATTAACGCAGTTGATGAATTTTGAATTCATCAAATGAACCGAAAAAAGCTATTTGTTTCAAACAACATCACAATATAAAAACTCGATATCAGAAATTTTCTTACTCAATATCCTCGCAATTTTTTGAAATGCATAATTTATACATAACGTGGCTTTATGCTTTGCGATTTGTTACATGCAAAGTTAGTGTGGATGCCTTCAGTTTGTTATATTCCAAATTATTAATTGCAAAATTGAGTCTATTTGTATTTGGTGCTGAATCGCATTGGCACTTTGTTAGCATATGTAGCTGCTTTATTCGTGACTAGTGTTTGTCGGTTGTTAAGCTTGAGTGGCTGAGGGGATTGTGCGTGAGACTCAAAATCTCTTGATTGCAGTAGGTCGCAGATTCCAATCGTACACGTAGCCGAGTTTTTGCTAAATCGAGGCTTATTTCTACTTTTTCATATTTAACTTGATTGAGCTGCTTTTTGGTCGTGTTCTCACAAGTGTTTGCGAAGCGCAGCTTCGCCTCTGTGTAAAACATGAATCTGAATATTATAAAATAATGCTGAATTGTATAGAATATACAATTGCGACATATGAAAATTGATGTTCATTTAAGAAAGCTGGAACACATTTTTATTGTAGTCAGTAAACAAATTTCAGACGCGATTAAAAGAATAAATTTAGTTTAATTTCTCCTAATTTCAGTTTTGCATTGGCGTATAAATTCATTTTTGTGGTCATCTCTAATTTTTTTAATAAAACTTCCTAGGCCCCTTGATTAAAATCAAAGCCCAATTTACTTATTCAATTTCCTCGGACCCTGGTTAAAATTAATTGGCTATCCAACTTGATAACGAATTGTGATAGTGCATTACGAGGCTAAACTGTGTATGCTGTGAATTGTAAGTGGTTTCCGCAACAAGGACGCTCTCTTGTTCGTCTTTTGTTCTTTTGTTTTCCTTGATTGTTTCGACAAAATTTAACAGGTTTGAAGAACTGTCTCCTGATTCCAGATATGTTTCTATCCAGTGCACTGTTTGGCCTGAAAATGTGATATAGGTTTTTTCGGTTTACTTGTTTTGAGTTCATTAACATTTTTACAACTATCTGCTGAATGCTTATATTTCAAGAATAGGAGCTTGCTATTCGTTGCTACGCGTTTTGTTTTTTTTTGGTTTGAATTTTGTGGTGAGCTTTGGACCCTTCAAAAATGCAGTGGTTCAGGATATACTAAATTTCCAGAATAAGAAAAGTCTCTACAAGTGAAAAAAGGTTGTTCGAGTCTTCAGTAAGATCCTCAAGCAAACTTTTTAAATTAAAAAAAATTAACTTTCATACATCGATTTTTGGTTTAATTTTGGGAAGGAGAATGACTTGATTGCGAGTGGTGTGTTAGATATTATAATGTATAATGTGAAAACTTCATGATAGTGGCATAAATCCTGTTGAAGGAATGTATATGCACTCAGTGAGATACTAATTTCGCCCCCAAATAGTTTCAAGTAAGACTTGCTAATTGCTCCGACTTTTGAAGAAAACAAGACTGCTCGTATATCAGGGCAATGCCCTGAATGTTGACTTCCCCTTATTCCATATCGAATAGCTTTTGGGGAAAAATATTGAAAGTTGGAGGGATTTTGTTGTGCGGGATAATTCGCCATGCATAAATAATTCGCCTTAAGCCTTCATCTTAAAATATTCAAAATAAAATATTCAAAACGCGCATAAATTAGTTCAAAGCATGGCCAAATTGTCAACTTTTTAAACTCCCAGAACTTCGTAAAAAATGATTGTAGCTATAATATCTTTTCAATGAGTATAAAAAAACTTTGCCAAAATCGAATTCGGTCGCCGAAAATTGATTGAATAACAAACCGCCTCAAGCATAAATATTCTGTTTTCTCAGTTTTATGTAGTACTTTCTCTTAATTGTTGGTGGCTTTAAAAATTTAATTCAGTAAATTTTGGTATTGTGTGAGTTTATTTTTCTCTATATCCCATCCCCTCTTCTCTACAAAGCACAATATTTCATTTGGAGTGAAAGATTTCTCGACACAACCAATTTTCTACCCTAATTCAACTCATCAATTCATTTAAACTAGCTGGGAATGGAGTATCTATGCCTTTATTTGGCTTTTCCTAAGTTAACTGGCTCGAATAAAAAATTGTTTTTCATTCTGAGTCCTTGATATTAAATCAATCGATATTGAAAATTTTGTTATTTTTCATCCATAGTTCAGTCTTGAAATTTGAAGGTTAATTTCTCTAATTTTATGGTTGTTTGCTTTATTTATTAAAATCAGAAAATAAAAAAAGAGCATTTTTGCAGGAAAAAAGTTTAAAAAAAACACCAGAATCTTTATACTCGGGTGGATTTGCTTATTTCAGACAAAATTCGACGATTGAATTAATCATTTTAAATTCAAAAGTTTTATGACCCAATGAAGCTATTGACAACCTGAATGCAAAAATAAAAACGTGACCAAATTTGATACAAATCTGGGGTTACAAACGTTGTCAATTTGGACAAAGTTATGCGGACTTCTAAAAATTTATCCAGGACGCGCGATCCCCAGAGATTTTGGAAAGGTGCGTATTTAATGCTTTTCCATATAACTTTTACAAATAGCGACTCAAATTAAATAAGAAGAGTCGCTAGCTGTGCGAAAGAACAATGTTACGACCATATTGAAAAAATACAGAAAAATGTCATTTTTTTACTTCGAGTTGGTGCGGGTTTTTGTTCGTGGTGTGATGAGAAAGTTATACAAACGCGTGCATAGAAAACTAAAGAATTAGGCATCATTTGCAACAGTTGTCTTTTTAATGACAAAAAAAATTCAATCATAATTTTTATAAAATTAATTTGAAAAGAATTGAATAAAGTTTTCATTTTTTTGCTAAGTTTTTAGAAGATATGTTTATTGCCAAAGAAGCTCTAGATGAAGCTGTCGAAACTAGTTGTTTTTATTGATATCAAGTTTTTCTGCCTTATTGACCGATTTGCATATAATGAGTGTTTCTTGTTAGCTCTACTTACTCGAAACATAAAAAAGTTCTGAAATTTCCAACCGGGTTCTCTCGACGCTGCGACATTTTTCAGCATTGTTTTCGACTGAACTGAACAAATTCGTCTAAACGGAACAAAACATAACAGAAATAAACCCGAAAACAAAGTACTCACCTATTTTTAATGGGCGAAACAACTTAGTTCGGGCTAAGGTAATCTAATTTTTTTTCAAAAACCAAGCTATCAATGATTTTCATCGTACCAAGTGTTTCTAAATTTTTGTTTTTTTGATTTAAAAGGACTATTTGAGGTTTTTTGGCTTTTTATTGAGAATTTTGTTCGAACACTTGACCGTTTCACCGGTGTGTTTTGACGCTATTTTGATTAGCTCAAAGAATGATGGTAGAGGTTCAAGTGTAGTGTTGTATTAAAACTATATCAGCTATAATTTCCAAGAAAATGTCGAATTTTTTTCTCCCTTTATTCGAAATTTTCAAGTGAAATCATGGTAGTCGTAATTTTCTGTACTGTTTACACAGCAAGCAGTTATGGCGTTTTTAATTTTTTTTTCATTGAAACTATTTTGTGGCCTATGTCTTAATAACAGCTGTAATATGGCCCTTTATTTTCCCAAGTAAAATATAAAATACGAAACGCATGTCATGTAGGTTGCCTAGGGGAATTGAAAAAGTTCAACAGTCAAAGGTTTCTGCATGAGCAAAATTATCCAAAAATTTTTCAACAGTTTTTTTGTTTTTAAAATTTTTTGTCGTGGTTTTCTCGCACTGTTAAGTGTATTTTATGGGATATATTACGGCTTTAACAAATCTTAATAACTAGTTTTCTCTCTGCGTTGAAAAGTTGTCGAAATTTGCCAACTATTTGGAGGATCAACTTTTTCGTGTAAAATTCATTGTAATGAGGTTTAAGATTGAAGAGTGGCGAGTGTTTTTTTAAATTATGATTTTTATAGGTTAGCAGTTTGTGTTGTAGGAGCTTTGCCGTAGAGTGATCTTATGTACCAAAATATTTTTAGTCCACTGCCTTTTTCTCTTAGAGAATGAACTTGCGTTCTGAGAAACTTTTTGGACAGCTTAGACAGTATATTGGCACCGGTTCGGGTGATTTTAGAGGAATTTAAGGAATATTTTGCAATAAGTAATATAAGTAAATCATACCAAAGGGAGAACATTGGAAGACAAAATGTGGCAACCAGAGTTGAGAAAAACCAACCCCCACCATCCCATTCCGCACACACACACACACACACACACACACACACACGCGCGCGCGCGCGCTAGCACAATCCCTCTTCGGCACGCTACTGAAAGCACGAGATGTAGTTTTTTATTCAACTTGTCTTGGTCAAGGTTGATTTTTCAATTTTACAAAGCAAAAATTGAGCAATTTCAAAAACTAACAGAAATTTGGCAGTCAAAAATTGTAACGATGTGATCTTTGCAGTTGTGAACATTATTATAAGCATTGAGCGCAGCTGCGAGATCGGCGTGCCAAAAAAGATGCAGAAATCTTTGGCAAAATCAGAAAAAAAGCAAGTTTTAAGTCTTGAAGTCTAAGTGGATACCTATGTCTCGAATCTGTAAGTAATACATTTGCCATATAGGTTTTCTAACCACAATATTTGGTACAAATTGGTCTACAATCTTTATCATTTATGTAAGAGCATGAGCTGAAAATTAATAAATATTCTGACAGAACTCGCCGTCTTTTGTTTCCAGGGAAACAGCTGATTAAATATACTACAGATTTAAAAAATAAAATTGCGTGAACAAAATACAACAAAAGTGTGCGTAGACTCTGGCAGCTGTATACTGTGATTACAATTGATGATGGTATTTTGACAGACATGAATTGTGCATTCTAAGGAACACCTGATAATTTGTAATGGAAAAATGTCCTTGGAACCAAAATTCGTCCTCATTTTAATACTTTTTTGGCTGTTTTTACTGGAAAAAGTGAATCCTGAGGTTTCGAAATGTTTTATTTGTGACGAAGATTTACCTGCTATCGTTCCCGAAGATTCCAGGGTGGCAAGGTCAGTAATAGTTTTTAATTTTTTCTACTATGCTGAGCTGAATACTGAACATGATGAAACTTGCGGACAACAACCCAGTAAAACACAGCGGTCAACAAAAAAAGCGCAGGTTCATTGTATACATTCGTGCGAAGGAAAAACAAACGGAGCCCATAAATAAGTTCTTATCGCATTTTTGCGGTGGTAATTGAATTGAGAAAAGCTTGTTTTTGGTCTGGCAAATTTCATTAACATTTTTTACTTGCAATGACTATCCTTTCAATTCGTGATGATACCCTTGAGAAATCATTATGAGAGCATTATAACGGCAATAGTTAGTCAATAATTCTGGGCACTAGACCAACTCATCGTCGGATTAAAAGGTTCTATCGATTAAGTGATAACGTGCAATTTATCAAAAATAACAAACGTGGGCGTGTATGGGGCGGTGGCTAATGCTTCTTTTTCCTTGGGAATTAGACTCTCTCACCATCCGAAGGGTCCCCACTTTGTTACTATCTACGGCATCCCGTTTCGGGCGAGCAACACTAATATTAATCTAGAAACACATTTTTTTCAAAGATCCGATATGCTAAATTTAAAGTGGAGCGCGCCAAAATAACCCATTTTTCTTACCAAAATTTTCCAAACAGTGTCCAAAACAGCTTTTTGGCCTGTTGTTTTTTCAAATTGGCAAAGGGCAGATTTTTTAAAATAAGGTTTTTATAAGTAATTTTAGAGAGCTCGAAAAATCAACTTGGCCAACTTAAATAAGTCAACAAATTTATTGAAAACCGATTTTAAAAATCCGTTCCTTCTCCCTTGAGAAAATCTTGGATGCGTCCCTTACACAAGTGATGCATTGTGCTTTAAAAAGTCTGGCTATAATAATCGTTGAGCTAGCGCAAAACTGAAGGAAAAAATGCGTTTCAAGTGTAAAAATTTTAAATACAAAACGAATGAGATGCAAAAGCAAACAGGACTACTCGTATCAGGGCGAAAACCAGAATTTTCCGACTGCCTTTTAAGTTAAGGTCTATGGAGCAGTAAGAACAAGAAAAAAATAAATGTCAAAGAAAAAAATAAGTTTTTTTTAATTTGAAAATTTTTTTGCGAAAATCATCTCCCCACACGCCATATAAAGTACAAAAATAGTTTTCGCTCCTAGTAACAAATCAGTTATGGCAAATAAGCTTCCATCAACCAATTTGGAACCATTTCTAAGACGGATTAAACCTTCGCTTGCGCGTTGAAAGCACGAAATATACCGCACGTTAATTGTTCCAAATTGACCGAAATGACAACCTTTATACCACCATAACTTTACGAAGATCACGGGTGAAATATCTTTTCAAATTTAAGCTCAGGTAACAATACCTTTCGAATGATTTTGACAAATGGATCAACCATGGCTAGTTAAAAAGTCAAAATTTGTCTGAAAAAAAACAACAAAGAGTACAAATATTCCGCTTCTTTGGTTACGAAAGTCGGAACAACAAAAGATTGCATCAGTATCTTATACTGGCAAAGAAAATGACACAAAAATGCAGTTAAGCAAACCAGTGAAAAACTTTCATGGCCGTATTCAGAATTGCATACAAGTCGATGACTTGAAAAAAAAATTGCAAGAAAGGAAAACAGAGAAAGATCTGGTCAAAAAGAAAATAAGCAGGTGTATACGATTATAGATAAATTAACTATCGTTTCTCATAATAAGATAACGAAAAAGAAAGGTTTATTTGAAAATTATTTTAAAATCAATGAAAAGTTTATTAATTCGTCCGTTTTGTAATTCTGGCCTTATTAATGACCCAAAGTGTTTTGAATTTGTATGAGTAAGTTGCGTGCTTGCTTGTTGGCAATTGACCAGCTTTATCTAGCCCGAAAAAAGCAAAAAAATTGTATAATTGTCTAATGATAGTTTGAAACAAAGAAATTTAACTTTGTGCCTATTACATAAAACAAACGACATTTTACCTCTGCTTTTGGCTAAATAAGTGACAAGCTAAGCATCTTTGAAATACCTTCATTTGTAAAAAGACTAAAATTAATTGTAAAGTATTAAAGAAGCTTGGAATCAAGTGCATGCACACCGTATTTTGTTCATAATTTAGAGTCAAAGCATTCAAATTTGAAATTATTTAATTGTGAGTCTAATAACTAATAAAAGCTAAATTTGATAAAAGGAAACAGAAATCTCAGCTTACTCTAGGACCTAATTTCTCTGACAAGCCCTTTTTTGTATTTAATTTGTTCTTGAATTTAAATATCTTTTTTCTTTGTTTTACAGTATTATAAGGCTCAGATTAGAATTATCATTAATTTTTGCTTTTTGCGCGTGCCGGGAAAAATAAAAAGGGTAACAAGGGCTCAGGAGCTCACTGGGTTAAACTAACAGAGGAATAATTAACTGGGGATGAGTACGAGAAGGTAAATGGGCAGAATAGGAGAAGATAGAAAGAGAAAAAAAGGGTAAAAGGAAAATTAATAATTTATATTAATTTTTATTCGAACTTATTTGGAATAAATTTAACCTATTTACTAAGTGTTCGTATTACATGAAAGGCTCGTACCGTTCATGGCGCAGCGGTAGAGCGCCGGGATTCATCGCTGGATTCATAGACACGATCCCTTCTGGGAACCTTTTTTGTATGTATATTTACTCATTTTGTTGTGTTTAAATAGACAAGGTAGGTTTGAATCAGATTATCTGATCTCGTTACCTATCCTTTCAACGTTAACAGCATTTATTCTAATTGGAAAGTGTTTGAAAATATATTCCGTATTTTTGATAAATAAACTCTTCTTCTTTAGAATTCTTTCTACTTACCGTTTTTTGATATAACTGTAAAATAGGGTTTGCATTGTCTAAGAGAAGTAGCATGAGGTGTTAAAAAAGTTTTAGCGAAAATCTAGGTGATAACCAAGGTAAAAAACCATTGAATAGTTTTCGAGAATTGAAGTATTGCATGTCAAACCTATGACGTGTGGTGACTGACTAAGAAGCTTCCGGTGGGTTTTTAGACCCGTTTAAAATTTTATTTACCCGCTTTGACAAGTACGAAATTAAGTACGAAATTAAGTAAAACTGCTGTCAATTTACTAACACTGTCAAATATGCCTAAATTCTAGGCTTTCATTTTCAGAACCTCTCATCTAATCACTAAAAAGAAACGACACAATTGAAAGAAAAGATGAATTGTGCAGCAACTGGCTATATTTTGTTTTTTAACAATTGGTTTTGCTGCAAATGCTACCTGACCTTGATACTTGCTGATCTTATATTTATACTTTAGATTTTACCTTAAGTTCTTTTTGATTGAACTCTCACCGCGTGTGAATCAGCCGGAAGCTATTTATAAAATGCAAATGCTTTGGGATCTACTTAACAATTGCCCCCCCCCCCCCTTGGTATCTACTTAAGAATTGCCACCCCTATTAATAAAAGCAGTAAATTAGAACTGAGCTTTCTATTGAGAATTATAATTTAGCTGCATTCGGATTGGTCGAAAATGCGTTATTTTAATCTACTTAACAATTGCCCCCCTTTTTCTTAAAAGGGGGGCAATTGTTAAGTTGATCCATGTTTTGTACTACAAACTGAATTGTATATCTTAAAATAGTAGGAAGCAGCCAATTTCATTTTTGACGTTTGCAAACAGGTTCCCGCAGTTAAACTCTATCCGTTCCTCTGAGCCGATGCTGGCTGATTTTGGGTTCTTGAGTTTCAACCAAATAGTGTCGGAGATGTTCTGTGGGAGCCAGTGCGTGTTCCACCCAGAGTGCAAGTCATTCAACTACAACCTCGCAGTGAAGCAGTGCAACCTACTGGCTACAGATATTCTTTTGAAGAATATATCCTCTTCTGATTGTTAGTTTCCCGAAAGTTCCTCCCTCATTTAAGTGTTCTAGAACTCAATAGGCAATCCGATTAAACTTAAACGCGTACTTTTAAGCATGTTTCCTGTCTGAGTCTGAGGTGGCTGTATTGAAAAAATTTAAGCGGGAGCGAGTTTTCGAGTATAAATAGACTTTCTGAGCTCTTTCCAAACAGTAAAAACAAATCACGTTTGCCCGAGTGGAAGTCATTCTCTGACACTTCAGCAATAGTAGACAAAAATGCAATTTTGAATTTTAGACATTTTGTGAAGGTTTTGAGTTTGACCATAAATATTTCAAATATTTTCTTCTGGCACGTTCTGTCGTCTTATAATTAGTATGTATAAGCGCTAGAGACGCCTTAAGTAAAAATTTACTGTCGTTCAGCCAAAAAGGGATAGTGATAAGAAAACACTCAGCCAAAGGATCAAGAAACCACTCAGATGTAAGATCTGTTCACTTAGAACACATTCGAGTTAATTGATCAGTGTAACATCAGTAAGGAACATCACCCAAGTTGAATGAAAGTAGTTGATTTGACCCTAATTTTAGACGCTGATGAAGATGGGGTGTGGTTGCACCAGAGTGTCGGTCCCCTACCCCGAGGATGTCCCAACACCTCTGCAGTCTTATCTGACTGTGTGCATTTCTGGGTCCAGTCATACACTACTCATGAGATGGTACTCGAGTGGAAGCTAGTTTCGGACAGCGACCAAAAAACTCACTATTTAGTGGTAAGGTTTTTCGCTTAGCCAAAGCTGATAACCAAATCATTGCGACAAGCTGATCACCGCGACAGTAGACTTTGAATTTCTCTTACCATTCGTTTGTCATTCTGATTTGTTGGTATCACATTCACACTTGAAAGTCTTTTGCACATAGTTATTAGCTGTGTCGAGCAAACCTAAACGGTTGTCGATCATAAATAAGGGTTTAGACAATTGTGACAATTTCCTCTATAGAAGTTTTAATTGCGTTATTAATAGTTTTGTGAAAGGGCTCTCAAAATTTCTGAAACCTCGACAGTCACGTGACATAAAAGTAGCAATTTTTTGAGTTCAACGAGCAAATGAACAATTTTTTTTCAAGTTTCGTCATTTTCTTTGAAACTATAAGATATGGGGTTGAAATTTTGACAAATGCAAGATGAAACTATTTGAAAGGGCTTTGCAAATTTGAGAAAAAAAAATGTTTCGAAGGCGTAAATTAGCCACTATATCATATTTACTTTTAGTTGTGTTCCTGCTGTGGAAATATCCTCGCAGTCAATGTAAACAGTTTGAATTACTGGGGTCAAAATAATTCTTTAAAAAGCTTACAAGCTTAAATTGCTCTTTATCCCGCCAAAAAATGACATATAACAGAAGTGAAAGAAATACTTGGTCGGCTTCAAAAATCGCTAAAACTTTCGAATAATGTTGCGCGTAAAACTTTCGAGTTATTTAGATCAACTTTCTGGCATAAGCTCCCAAGTACTTCTAATGTATGAGTCGTCAACACAGATATGCCCATTTTTTGACGCGCACTAAGTAGCTCTTTCAATTCTGTTTTCTGTTATCAGTCAAATTTCGGCGGCATAAAGAGCAAGTAAAGCTCGTCAGCTTCTCAAAAAATTAACTTGGGCCCAATAATTTATACGCTTTTTTTTGGTTGCAAGCATGTTTCCACAGCAAGAGCACTTCTGTAACTAGTTATAAACTACTGTCTTATTCACGCCTTCTATACAAGATTTCTCAAATTTAAGCCCGAGTAAACGCTTCTAATAAACTTCAACTTTTTTGCCAAAATTAGAAACCTATATTTTGAATAGTTTCAGCGCAAAAGACAAAAATGTGAAAAAAAATAATCAAAAAGCAAATTTTATGTTCCATGACTGTAAAACACCTAAAAAGATTAGATTGGCTTTTGAGTGCTCAGCTAAGGTCTCGCTGCAATTTATTGGAAAAAGTCATCAAGAACAAATTTTTTGCAAATTGTATAGGATAAAAAACCATTGTTCACAAGCTTCAGTTACCCGGGTTTAACGAAAATGCTTGTCATACAACTTTCATACATGAAAAATGCTTGTCCTACAGTTTTTTACAAATCTTACGCAACCAAACTGTATAAAAACAGTTTTTTTTACCCGGGTTTAACGAAAATGCTTGTCATACAACTTTCATACATGGAAAAATGCTTATCATACAGTTTTATGCAATATCTTACCTGATAGGAATGTATAAATACTCTATGATGAGACTTTTTTAGTGATGAGAATTTTTTAAAAACTCCCCATTTTTTACAGTAAATAAGTGTTCTGTCCGAAAACGCAATAACCAACGGTGCCCTTTGTACTAGCAAACCCACAAGTTCAGATTTTTTTGCATGCTAGCAAGAATTGCACAGATGACCTGTGCTTGACGATTTTTCTAAGTTTATTTTTCCATAGACCATAAAAGGCAGTCGGAACATTCAAGGCTTCGCGCTCATACTAGCAGTCTTGTTGTTTCAACTTTCGAAGAAATAGACCGAATACTTTTTTCTTGGAGGTCTTTTTCTCCAGACCAGTTTCAATTTTTTAGCCAGTCATTATTGACATGATTTTTTATATGGTCTGAAAGGTGCTGATCAAGTTTAAATCGAAAAAAAGTTTAAAGAAAAAATTTCAGCTGTGATCAATTTTTAATCAGATTTTTGAAGAAAGTGAGGATTTAATACGCTTGAGGTGGTTTTTTTTTCAAATTCAGACCGATGTCAGCGTATTGGCACCAATTGACAGCGTATGGGTATCGATACGGAAATAATTGCTATAGACTAAAATGCGGGTGACTTTGTTAGTGATGAAACGCAAACTAATTATGCGTGGCAAATTATCAGCACTCATAAACGTTATCATTTGAATTGAAGCCAATTATAATGGGTCATTTTAATTCTACGCAAGTCATAGCACGTGCATTTGATGTTTGTAGTACAAAATTTTGAGTTTATCAAAAAAGTTGATTTAAACTATTCAAGAACTAGATAACGGGCAGTTGGAATATACGAGCACTGATGTGCGAACAGTCCTGTCGTTCCGACTTTCGATACGAAAGTAACGGAATATTTGTGCTCGGGTGGATTTTTTTCTTCAGACAAATTTCGACTTTTTAAATAGCCATTTTTGACGGATATTTTTTATTTCATTCGAAAGATATTGTCAAGCTGAGCTTAAATTTGAAAAAATATTTCACCTGTGATCATGTTTCGAAAAAGTATGAGGGTTTAAAGATTGCCATTTTGGCCATTTTGACCAATTTGGGACAATTAACGCGCGATATAATTCGCGCTATTAACGCGTAAACGGATATTTAATCCGTCTTAGAAATCGTTCCAAATTGGTTGAACGAAGCTTATTTTCCATAATTGATTTAATACAAAGCGCGAAATCATTCCTTTTGTATTTTATATGGCGTGTGGGGGGATGTTTTTAAGAAAAAAAATTCCAATGTAAAAAAAAAATTTAATTTAATTTTATTTATGTTATTACTGCTCCATAAACCTTAAAAGGCAGTCGGAACATTCAGGGCTTCGCCCTGATACGAGCAGTTTTGTATATATTTATTATTCATAGGGATTCAGAGTGAATTTCGACAAAATAAATAATTGGCTGATCATTCCGACTTTTGGGAGGAAAATAACGGAATATATCAGCTCGGGGAGTTTTCGGTTCACAATTTAAAGTAGCAAAAATCAAGTTGAGACATAGATATTTTATAACTAGTTATAAATGTCAACGACGCAAGTTCGAAAAGCAAAAAATCATAAAAGGCTTTGTTAAATTAGGGGGGGGGGGGGGCTGATGCTGATAAATTGATTCAACATAGTCTCAATAATTCCCTTCTAAATGCAAAATATATCGTTAAGTACTTGATTGTTGGTGACTTCAATAAATTCTTTAAGAAAGTTTTAGTATTTTGGAGTTCTTTATTTTTTCTACATATCCCTCTCTACCTCGTACAACGTCACATACGAAGTGATAGATTTCTCGACACATGAACCAATTATTCACTTTTTTCAAATTATCTGTTCAATTGAACTAGCTTGGAATGGAGTATCTATGCCTTTATTTCACTTTTCCGAAGTTAACTACTGGCTGGAATAAAAACTTGTTTTTCATTCTGAGTTTTCTGAGCCCTTGAAATTAAATCAATCGATTTTATAAATTTTTTTCAATTATTCATCTTTAGTCCAATGGTGACATCAGAAAGTTATTTTTCCAAATCTCACGGTCTGCTTCATTTTTTAAAATCAGAACACCAAAAAAAATTGCAAAAAGCAAATCTTGTGGAAAAACAAAGAGTTTTTAGTAAAAGAAAAGCATTTTATGAAACAGGTGTATTTACCGTTTACCGATGGCAAAAAACACCAGATTGAGAGCTATTAATTTTGTATATAACTCTTTCAAAAGGGAGAAAGAACATATAAGAGGCCAAAACTGAAAGGACTTTTTTGTGCTTCAGAGGCAGGGGTGGACATTCTATTTTCTCGAGAAAGGGGGAAGGGTTAAAAACTTCAAAAAAGTAGTCCGCTTTTAGTGAACTATATATTGGTATTGAGGTTAAGTGACTGGAAGAGCAAATTTCAAAAAAAAATCTTGAACTTTGTCAACATTTTAGCGAACCGAATCGATTTTCAACTTCCCACAATTCTCACATGACAAAGAGAACTTATTTTACAAAATTTTTTTGCGCATCAGGCAATTTAAAAAAACTGAAACATTTAGGGTCGGTCAGCCGATATTGGTCTCAGCCGATATTGGTATAAAAAAGTGCGCAAACAAGGATTTCACGCCTAAAAACTAGTATAGCTTGCGGCGCCAAAGGTGCCTTTAGAAATTTAGGGGGTCGGTCAGACAAAAAAGGATATATCGAAATCAGGGGCGAATCTACAATTTTCTCGACGGGGGGGGGGGCGGGTTTTCAAATAATTTTCGAAAATTTTTGTCGACCTTTTTTAAGTCGACCAAATTGCAAATTGATTTTTCGAGCTCTCCCAAACCACTGTTTTGTCCTTATTTTGGCCAAAATGTTTGCGCCGCAGGCAAAATTTTGAAAAAAACAGGCCAAAAAAGGCGTTTTTAGGCACTTTTTGGAAAATTTGACCGAAAAATTGCGTTTTTTGGCGCGTGCTCCCCCCTCAAAGGTAGTATATATTGGCGCCTTTAGAAAAATTTTAAGGTTGGTTGGCCAAAACTGGATTTCTTAAAAGTACCAAAGACGGGACCCTTTGATTCGGCAGGGGGTCGAATCCCTGAGGGGGGTAGGGGGGGGGGGGCTCAAATTGCGTGTGCTTAGGTTTTTTCTTAGAGTTGTAGTTAGGCATGATACCAAATTTAAAAAAAGTTATTAAAAACTTAAAAATTCAAAGTTAAAGGATAATTTACTTTATTTTTTTTTTTTCAAGAAAAAGGTAGTAGAAATACAACTACGGGCGTTTTACTTCTTGTCTTATTTTATGTATTCTAAGGCGCTTTTTCTGTTTGACAAGTCTTTCTATATAAGGGTAGGTTTTTGGTCGCTAATTAAAGAGTTTAAAATTTAGTTATAGTTCTATGTCGAAAACTTTCTTCATTTTAGATCGATCAATTGTAAAGTTTACTTTTTGTTTAATTTTGCTTTCTATACATTGTTTGGAAA